ACTTTTACTGTAGAAATATTGAGAAATATTTATTTAAAGTAGCCATTTGGGTCCAAAATACCTCCAAAAGAGTCAAAACATGTCACTTTTGATCTACTGTAACTTTTTACTGTAAAAAGGTGTGCGACAAATTTTACTGGATTCATGGCGTCATGATTTCCCTCTACCACTGTACCAAAGACCAGAAACTTTTACTGTAGAAATATTGAGAAATATTTATTTAAAGTAGCCATTTTGGTCCAAAATTGCCTAAAAATGGTCAAAACATGTCACTTTTGGTCTACTGTAACTTTTATTTAGGAAATTTTGAGAAATAATTTGTCAAAGTACCCCCCTTGGTAAAAAATACACAACAACAAGACAAGCGGAGGCTCTGCTCCGAGCTCCTTCCGTGTGACTGAGCTCCTCAACCTATCTCTAAAGGTGCTTTCAGACCAATAGCTTCAAAATGCTTTTGACGCGCAATATTTGACGCTGGGTCCGGTGTGAACGCCCCTTGGTGCTTGAAGCTCCTGACGCCGGGTGGGAGGAGCTTCTCTCGCTCCCGCCTGGAGCTCTCACTGATTCCAGCGGAGGAGCGCCAGTCTTGCAGTCTGCTGTGTCTGAGCCAGCTTTAGCTTGTTCTTATACTAAATAAATTACTTTAACTTCACAGCATATGTACATTGATTGTGTTACTTTTTAAGAACGTTACTATTCATACAAATAATATTATAAATAACAATAATGACAATGAAAAAGCAGTAGCAGCTACATGACAGCCCTGCTGCTGCTGCTGCTGCTGCTCCTCGTCTCCAGATTGGTTGAAGCCCGGCGTCAAGCTCCAAAAGCTTTTCTCAACTTCGGCGTTAAGGGACTCTTTTACGACAAAAGAGACGCAAGCATTATGCGTGTCAAAAGCTTCAAGTGACGCGCATAATGCTCGCGTCTTTTGAAGCGCTTCAAGTGACGCCGGGCCTCTCAGCATCACCTGACGCGCTTCACTATTCATTTTCAGTGCAAAACTGACGCTTTTCAAGTCTTGAGTCCGGGGTGAAAACACCTAAAGGGAGTGCCCAACCACTCTTTCCCACCGCTTGTATCTACAATCTCGTTCTTTCGGTCATTATCCAAAGCTCATGACCAGAGGTGATGGAGGGAACAAGAATTGACCGGTAAATAAAAAGTGGCCGCATCACTGCGCACGCTGCACCAATCCACCTGTCAATCTCACGCTCCATCCTTCCGTCACTCGTGAACAAGACCCCAGATACTTGAACTCCTCCACGTGAGGAAGGACCTCTCCACTTTGGCGGCATGGTGGCTGAGTGGATAGCACTCTCGCTTCTCAGCAAGAAGGTCCTGGTTTCGAATCCCAGTCGGAACAGTGCCTTATGAGTCGAGTTTGCATGTTCCCCGTGTCTGCATAGGTTTCCTCCAGGTGCTCCGGTTTCCCCTACCACTAAAAACATGCCCTGGCTGCAACCTACAAATTCTGTCCATTATGACAGTAAACAGAAGCGGTGAAAAAGGGGCAGCCTGCACCTGCCGGCAATGCAAATACAGCTCTGGTAGAGTAATGAAGTCATGAATCCAGTGAAATTAGTCGCACACCTTTTTACAGTAAAAAGTTACAGTAGATCAAAAGTGACATTTTTGACCATTTTTAGGCTATTTTGGACCCAAATGGCTACTTTAAATCAATATTTCTCAATATTTCTACAGTAAAAGTTTCTGGTCTTTGGTACAGTGGTAGAGGGCAATCATGACGTCATGAATCCAGTGAAATTAGTCGCACACCTTTTTACAGTAAAAAGTTACAGTAGATCAAAAGTGACATGTTTTGACTATTTTGGAGGTATTTTGGACCAAAATGGCTACTTTAAATCAATATTTCTCAATATTTCTACAGTAAATGTTTCTTGTCTTTGGTACAGTGGTAGAGGGCAATCATGACGTCATGAATCCAGTGAAATTAGTCGCACACCTTTTTACAGTAAAAAGTTACAGTAGATCAAAAGTGACATGTTTTGACCATTTTTAGGCTATTTTGGACCAAAATGGCTACTTTAAATCAATATTTCTCAATATTTCTACAGTAAAAGTTTCTGGTCTTTGGTACAGTGGTAGAGGGCAATCATGAGGTCATGAATCCAGTGAAATTAGTCGCACACCTTTTTACAGTAAAAAGTTACAGTAGATCAAAAGTGACATGTTTTGACCATTTTTAGGCTATTTTGGACCAAAATGGCTACTTTAACTCCATATTTCTCTAAATTTCTACAGTAAAAGTTTCTGGTCTTTGGTACAGTGGTAGAGGGCAATAATAAGGATATGAGTCAAGTGAAATTAGTCGCACACCTTATTCCAGTAAATAGTTATAATACTTGAAAATTACACTAGCGGACCAAATTGTGTACTTTATATATGTAAACAATAGAGTGGCTATCCTCCTGAGGACTCACAATCTGCAGGAGGAATCGTAGGGGGCTGGTGCTATGTGTACCGGGTGGCATCTCTATAAGGTTTTAATCACAAAAACGTGTCTCCCAGACCCCAGCGCGCTTTCTGTTGGATAAAAATGGGTGACTCCTAAAGGATGTTCCGCTGTTACCGTAAGTTCTCAAAGAAACGTGCACCATATTTTCCCAGATGCGGGCCGCTTGTTCATAGAGCTGAAAGATGCGGGCCACTTTACCGCGGTTGTTCCCAGAGGTCTCCCATCATAGTACTAACCAGGCCGTCCCCTGCAGCTCTACTCTGCAAGTCTCTTCATAGCCTCACAACGAAGTACACCTGTGACATGTTAGTGCCATATGAACCGACACGGACCCTGAGGGGCACAGGGACTGGCCTACTGCTGGGCACCTTCACATTTATGCAGTTAAAATCTGGAAGTCTTCCTGAAAATGTGGGGCAGGCTTACACTCGGTCAATCCTTAAAACAGTTCTGTTTAGCTGTGCAACAACTGAAGGATTGCATCTTCACTCTTGTTGTGCATGGTATTCGTGTTTTTGATTTTAATGTCTTGTGTCTTCTGTTTCTATTTTGTTTTGTTAAGCACTTTGAGCTGCCTTGTGTATGAACTATGCTATACAAATTAATCTGTCTAGCCTAACAGCGCAGCCCTATTCTACAACATTTGTTTTACTGTTGCATGTTTGTGATGCTTAGCAGACATAGATGTTTGAATGGTCTCCAACGATAACAATAACATTTTAGACTTTGTGGAAGCATTAACTAAAAATCTAAAGTCTGACCGGTCCAGGCTCAAAACATACGGTATTGGGGTACCTACATTTTAAATCTTTAATTTGATGAATAATACACATTTGTTTCAACAGTGTTGTAAAAGTTATGAACAAATCGGACCACAACATGCAGTCTTTCTCTTAAATCAGGGGTGTCCAAACTTTTTTTTAGAAACTTGTACAGGGGCAACAGCCTGATAGTAAAACTTTTTAACTGGATTTGGGCTGTTGTGACCTTTATAATTAGATATAACGAAGCAGAAGTTGGCTGAATGACAGATGAACATCTCACCAGCTTCATTAGAGCCATTCAATTTTTTCTGACAGTCATAAACAAATGTCAGCCTATACACAAGTCAACAGCTGAATTCTGGAGTTTGAGCTTTACAAGGTATAACATGCCTATATTTACTGAACTATATTGAGCTGAAGTTGGCTTGATGATTAACTTGTGTTCATGATCTCAAAGACAACTTTAGGATAGCAAGGCAGAGGACCTTAGTTTGGACATGCCTGTATTAAATGTTAGAAAACATGTCATCTTTCGCATCATTGTTCGGTCTGAAAAAGCTGCACGAAGGATGCAAGAGGCTAAAATACATGAATAAATGTGAAAACTAGTGCTAGAAAACAGTTTTGAGAGCAAGGAACTGGATCAAGAGGATTCAACACAGTCCTCCAAGGGCTGCTGTGGCTGCTGGTTTTCATTCCTACCAAGCAGGGGCACTCCATATTCCACTTCAGAATGAACCTGAAGATGTGAGGGAATGGGTGCAGCCTGCTGTGCTCCTGCCTGGTTGGGTAAAAACAGAGCTGAATGGTTGAGGACAGAGTTGAATACCCCTGGACTTGTTGATTACATTTTGTGGGATGAAGTCAGGGTGGCCAGCTTTAGTGTGCATCTCTCACTCTGTCATATTATTGTATACACTGCACAAGATCAATATAGCACTCTGTTGATTCATTGTATTGTGTGCTGAATGGGTGAGAGGTTTGGGGATCTAAAGAGCGTCTGCTTCATCCAACCTCTTTTCAAACCTGTATTAGTGTGAAAATATGAGAAAGTGTTATGCAGGTTTGAAAAAAATCTAAACAACTTAACGTCCCCTTTTCTGCTACACTCACATCACAAGTTACCATGTCAGTCATTTTTCTTCTGTATTTGTTAGAGCATTACTCAAAAGGACAAACTGTATGCTGTAAATGAAAGTCGTGGGCATGTCAATATATAAAGATTTCATTTGTAAAACATCCTAATTACAGACAGAACATAAAAGCACAGAAAGGTAAAACACAGCAAATGGTGTTTATTGTGGAAGTGGGAAGAGGACAGTGTTATATGTGCATCTCTGATAGTGTATTCTCTATTGTGCAACAACCTAAGTTACAGTATTTACACGGGGCACAGCTGAGCGGGCTTCATTACTGTATGACAGCAAGGCTAGCGTCCCGCGCAGAGACCACCCCCTCTCCAACACTTTGGCCTGTCCAAAGTAAACGTGACACATACAGTGTAATAGCAATCAGTACAACTAAACACATCCATTAAAACATCCACATGAATATACTCAATGCAACAAATGTAATGCAGAAATCATCTGGCATCATAAAATCCAAAGTTAACAAACATAGTACATGTTACACAGCCCATAAAAGGAAAGGAATAATGACATGAGGCCGATCTAGACGCTCTGATTCCGTGAACTAAAGATTTACATGTGAGAGATGAGTAACGAGCCTGAGCCCAGTCTGAACACGACGCTCGGACCTCAGCAGTTCTCAGAGTTGTGTGAGTGTGGCCCGGTCTCCAGCTTCCAGTCTCTCTGGTCAGTGGGGTCCTGTCCTCCCGCTGGGGACAGCGCCATCTGTCTGCGTGGGTTGGCACTGTGCATGGTGTTCCAGTGGCGTTTTAGGTCCGAAGCTTTGATAAAAGCTTTGTCACAGGAGCCACAGTTGAAGGGCCGCTCTCCTCGGTGCTGCCGCTCGTGGTCCTTCAAGTGAGACTTGTGTTTGAAGGCCTTTTCACATAGCTGACAGGAGAAGGGCCTCTCGTTGCTGTGCACGCGCTCGTGCCTCTTCAGGTCGGGCCCCCGGATGAAGGCCTTTCCACACACCACACAGCGGTGCGGTTTGAATCCAGAGTGGATCTTCAGGTGCTCCTTGAGGTGGGCTGCGGTGGTGAAGGCTTTGGTGCAGTGTTCACAGGCGTAGGGCCTGTTGGCGGTGAGCAGGCGCTCCTTTTTGGCGCTGTGGTCAAGTGCTTTGGAGCCAGGCGTCTGCAGGGCCCCGTGGTCGCGGTGACCGTAGAGTAAATACTCCAGCTTCATGTCTGTGGTGGTGGCGGCGGCCCAGCTGTGAGGGTGGGGGTCTTTGGGGAGGGTGGTGGTGTATGCGTGGGGCTGGTTGACGTGGGAGGCTGTGGCCGTCATGGCGTCCATGCCCTGGTCATAGAAGCTGTTCTTACGGACCTCCTCCATGGCCAGCTCCTTCAGGATGGCGTCCTGGGCTCGGAGGTGATCTCCGGGCGCCTGGTTCTCTCGTGTCTTCATGTTGGTCAGCTCTCTCTTCTGTGAGCACAGATTGTCCAGGAAGTTAATGCCCAGAATCTGTCCAGACGACATCATCATGTTGATGTCCTTCTTCCTCACAGCCAGACGGGCCGTGTACATGTAATTCAGCACCTCCTCAAAAATATCAGAGCGGATAAAGTCCAGTTCCACAATGGAGTTGTCCTCATCGTTCTGTTTCTTAAACAGCTTTTTGAAGTAGTTACTGCACGCGGCCAGGACGCAACGATGCGCTCTGAACTCTATGTTTTCCACCACGATCACCACGTCACAGTGCTCCCCCTCCATGCGCTGCTGGTTGAGCATCTTTAGGAAGGTCGCTTTGTGGTCGTAGTCGATATATCGCAGTAAGTCGGACATGGTGCCGGTCAGAAGGTCGACCTGCGTAGAAAGAGTGAGACGCGTCAACATGTAAACAGTAAACAAAGAAACAGGCGCAGATCAACACACATGACCAACACTGAACTTTGGTCCATAACAACAGCGAGCGTCCACTCATTAACCCAAAAACACTAGGCCCGACAGCGAGAAAGTCCACACACCGGTCACCGGAGCTTATTACGCTACTTTATACAAGTTTTCTGCTACGTGATAGGGGCCGCAGCCTGAGCCGCAGCCTGAGCCGCGGCCTGTGGGCAGCACGGACATGAGCCGCGGTGTTTCTCTCTCTGCGCTCGGCCATCTTGCTCTGAGCTCCGGAGCCTCCATGGGCATGTTCCGTGTGAGTGCGCGGGAGGACGCAGAGCCCAGGCCCTCTCGCCTGACAGTCTCCTGACCGCATCTCCGCCCCGTGTCTCTTCTACACGCCACACACGCGGGAAATAAAGCTATTCTACCTGAATCCTGAGCGCAGTCCGTGAGCTCCAGTCCAGAGGCGATGGTCGACGGCCCAGCGCTGCTCTTCCTCTGCGTGTTGTGACCAACAAGAGTCGGCGGGAGTCTGCCGCCACCTGGCGCACTGGAGAGGGAGCGCATTGCAGCACAGATCCTCTCTAGCACAGAGGAAGCACTCCGTTCCACATAGAGAGCACTCTGCTCTACAGAGGGCTCACTATCTTGAATCCATCTTCTACCCTTTAATCCATAACTGGGTCAGGGGGGCGGCAATCAGAGATGCCACCCAAGTCTCATAGCACCAGCCCCTCACTGACCCTCTGCAGGTGGTGAGTCCACAGGAGGACAGCTGTTCTCTGAGTGTGAGCATAGCCTTGATCTTTCAGTGGGGGCTTTGGGCAAAGTGGGGTTAAGTGTCTTGCCCAAGGACACAACGACAGCAGTCATCAGTGGGAGTCGGTGGAGAAGGTGTCGAGGTGGGAATTGAACCCACAACCTTCAGGCCTGAAGGCCAATGCTCTACCAACTGAGCTACTGTCGCCCGTCATGTGATAATGTGTTTATTTAATTTCCATATTTCGAATTAAGAAACTTTTGTTCTATTTAGTTCGAATGTAAATACCTCTGATCTCAGCCTCGTTGTGGATCGCTGTTAATATTTACAGTCTGCGGTGACTCGTGTGAATACTCACATAACATAATCCCCTCACAGATCTACAACCCTGGTCCCATTGAAAGTGCATAATAAAACCTATCCAACATATGGTGGAAGAATAGCCTTTTATATTCAAGAAAAAGTTTCAATTGCAATTGAGTTTTAAAAGTATATAGTGGTATTCAACATAATTATTCAAACACAAAAGTATGTAAAATAGACTTGTTGGCTATAATGTCTCTTTCACCCCAACAGATCTCTGCGTAGTATAATTTAGTAAGTAAGTTAACTTTTTTATACAGCGTCTTTTACAGACAGATTCACAAAGAGCTTTACAATTGCTTGTGGGCATTATTCCTTTCACTAGTCAATCTATAAAAATACCCTTGTAAACTTTACACACTGAAATAAGTCAAGAAAAAAATGACAAACATAACACAGATTAGTTTTAGAATTGTGGTCACGATTTTATTTGAGAAGGACAGCAAATTTTAAAACAATGCGTTGCCTCCTGCTGCGTGGGACACCATATTCTGAGGTCTTTGGACAACACCATCTTCCACTTTCAAGTCGAACCTCTGAAACATAACTGTGTTAACGTCAGGCATAATAAAATCCAGCGTGATTCCTTGGCATTAGCGTGTGTGGGGAAGAAACAACAGCACAGCGAAGGAACCGTGTGTTTAAATGATCCAGGGGAAAACAAAAAATATATATAAAATACCACATTTTAAAATCTAAGTAGAGACTAATTTGCGTTCTGATATGTACATTGCGTGTATGTGGCGTGAGGAAATGGTGGGTAAAGTTGGCACTTCACTAAAGCGCAGATTAAATAGTCTATGCTTATATTAACATGAACACACGGCCTGGAGCGGCTTTAAAGCTGGGGTGTGTAACTTTTCTAATGGAGGGTCCCCATGGTTTGGCCATGACCGGAAAAACCATGCACAGTGGGGTCAAGTTTCTAAAGCAAAATACACTGCAAAAATGAATTTAAAAACACTTGATTGATTGAGATTTTCTTAAAATACGTTTGCCAAAAGAAGCATTTAGGCGTTAGGTGTTATGTTTTCTCATTTCCAGAAATGTAAAAAAAAATATATTTTTAAAAGATTGCAAGGTAAATAAGACCACAGTAGTTTTTTTTGCTGCTATTGGGAGCGTTTCCACTGGCCCTGTTTAACCAATACCAGAGTGCTGCTGGAAGCTATGGATACTGGTTTATTGTGGGTAGGTTTCTAGGATGCGGTACCAGATACTAAAGTGTAATGGAAACATAACTGAGTAGAGTAGAAAAGGGCCGGTGGAAACTGGACTATACACATATAAGCTTTGTATGGCACTACATACAAATATATGTATGGGGAGCTGTGACCTGTCCCTGCCTCCACCTGTTTGAAGTTGTTAATCCTTTAGCGAAAAATATTCTGTATTTTGACTTGAAATTGAGCTATGTTTTGAAAATCTTTCTTTACTGTGGCTTTCAGCGTGGACTTTTGGAAAATCCTACTTAAAAAAAAGTCTTTGAGATTATATTTTTGCTGTGATGGACACAACACATTTACACTTAAGGCCGGCTTGCCTCTCCACTGATCTAAGCGGCAACTTTGCTGTAGTCTCCTAAAAAACCTGCTTTTCATTACGTCACAGTTCAAGGCAACTGTAGAGGCCTCCCACTGAAAAGTTACACAACGAAATTTCAACCAGGAGCGACGGCTTTCACTTAAATAAAAATGCAGCTAAAGTTTTAATTCCCATAAAAAAAATGCAGCAACATCTTATTAAGGCAGTGAAAGCAAACGAAAGATGGCTCGCTCAGTGGGGGGTCGGAAGTGGAGCGAATGCAAAGTTATTTTTTTCTCAAGATTGCACAGTTCTGAGGGGCTTTTGTTGCGGTGTTTTGTACTTCTCATGCAAAAGGCTGGTACGGGAGAGCGGAGGTGAGTCGGTGTGCGCTGCAGAGACGTTCTGGTGTCCGACTCCAGCCAGCTGTGCGCAATTAGCTTTAATTTGGAGGTTTGCGAGTTGAGAAGTTGGACTGAGGGCAGAGGCCGCCGTCACTCCTGGAAAAGAAAGAAGATTTAGTGTTGTATTTGTTTTTGTTTTTATGAAGATGTATAGTTGATGTCTTGAACTTCATGAAGAGCATTTCCAAGTCAAAAGAATTTAACACTGGATAAACAGCTTTTGATGATGACATGAAAGAAGCTCACTGGATCCCTTCAAATCTGATCATATGGATCCTTTTGCACCAGATTTCTGACACTATTGAGGACAAAATGGCAGCCAAATTTTATGGAGGAGGTATGTGCATAATCCAATACGCTAGGCTAGATAAATTGATGCGTTTATGATTTTCCAAATCAATAATCTGGAACCAGTGTTGGGTAAAGTACTTTGAAAATGTAATTAGTTACTTCATAAAAAAGTAATTAGTTACATCTAAATAAAAGTTAACTACAAATAAATTGTTCAAAAAAGTTGTACAGATTTTTTTTTGTCGCTTGTACTGTCCAATCCATCTGCAGTTTGTATTTTCAGTGAAATGTTTCTGAAACCACAGAACTCCACAGTAGAAATGGGCAGTATCTCTTCTACACTGTTCTGAGAACAAGTCTATTTATTTCGATCGTTGCAATTAGAGTGACAACGTCGTTCAAGTCCAGGTTTTTACTGTGTGGGTGCTGTGCTGTCGGAGGTGGCTTCACTCAGACGCTCTTTAGCGACTAGCTTAATAGTTGAATCTTTACAGTCTATGGTGTTTTAAAAATCCTGAGGAGGAGTTGGCTGCAAGCTTGCACTCCACAACAATATAATCCTTTTGACTGCTTTAGTTAAAATGGAAATCTCAATCTTGCTCATGTGCTCAACGTGACATAAACTCTCATACAGCGGAAATGCAGTCTCCTCTGCTTGCTGTTAACAAAGTATTTAGGTAGTAACTAATATAATTGCATGTATTTTCATAATGTTACACGTTATTAAAATTATAATTTAATCTTAAATCTAACTTAATAAAATACAAAAGTGACTAGTTACTCCCAACACTGGCTATAACAGGCCTGAGCAAAATACAAATTGCAAGACAGATCTGAAAGAATCCAGTTATTCTGAAAGTTCTTCTTTTGATGCAATTCTGACATCAACTCATTGGATTCTTCTTTGTGAGCATCAAGAGTGTAAGCTTTTCATCCAGAGTGTGTGGTTAGTGAGAGCCAAACATTCCCACATGAACATGCACAGCTCATCACCGTCATCCCAAAGAGTGAGGTTTGGGATCGCTGCAGCCAGAAGCTAACGTGTTATTAGCTTCAAAGAGAGAGAGCAGTGGTGAAGAGTGGACATAGAGGGGTTTAAACACGCACCTTGGTTCAGTATATGACAGAATTTTGAGACACGGCTGGGTACTTTTCAGATTCTGCAGATACCTTTCACTTTGGTTTATTGTCTTTTATAATAAGTTATTTGTCATTTAGTTATTCTGTGACTTTTACGTTGTTATTCTCAAAAATATAGCTCCACCTAATGAATGATTACTGGTGTAGTTTGTCATGAGGTCTTCTTTCAATATGTACATTTGGAAGAATACAAATAAGCAATGTTTATTTATTTTTATTTAAACTTTAAGTAAACTCATACACACACATGATCGGTAAATATATTAAGAATAAAAGAGCAGTATAAAGGTTGTAAACAATTACATATTTACAACCGTTCATCCATTACTTATCAGTATTGTCTCTCGCTGCGCAATTAGATTTTGTCTGGAAAATACAGTTGAGCTCCACAAAACGAGTGCAAGAATCCTTAAAGACCTTATGACGGGTTTTAAAAAAAAAAATAGTGGATATCAAAATTGCATGACAATGTCAATTTGAAAGAGATTCCGGAAAGAAAAATCTTATATTTTATAAAAAGAACGTGTTTTTCATGAATTTAAGTTGTCTATGCTCTAACCTGTGTGTGACGTCATAGCGGGTTACGCCCATGCATTGAAAACCATGGATCTTTGCCACAGGACTGACTTTTCTCTCTTCTCTCCACTGATGCCCAACACAATACTGCCCTCTACAGGTGACAATTGCTCACTACACATAAATTGCCGTTTTGAGTGTGAAAAAATGTCCGAGCTGGGATTTGAACCCCAGGCTCTGGATTGGCAGTCCATCGACACAACCGCTGGACTATCTAAGTGACAACAAAATGTTACCATCTAGTAGTTAGCTTAGACTCGCTGTACACGGCCTTGTCATCTTGAATATCCGCGAAAAAAGAACGAATACCAAATTGTAAACAACTTACAGCGTTGAAACGTACCCGTTCTGACGTCACCAAGGGCTGTGAAGTTTTTTCGTTTCTAAGGGCGTTGCTATGGGGTTATTTCGATTTGGGGGGATCAGACAAAAAAAACAACAACTGATTTTGAAACTTTTAGTAGTTCTCTTCTAATATAAAATGGTATTAAAACTGTATTTCTAAATAAATCAAACCCGTCATAAGGTCTTTAAAATAAGTAACATGTCCCTTTTCCGTTGCTTTGGCTATGCATGCGCGCACTCAGTCTGCCTGCCTGCTTTCTGCTGTTTCCAACCGGACAAAAATAATGGTGCATGGCCAACTTCCGGTTGCGCCAAAATGAAAAAACGAAGAAACTCAAATCAAGCCGACATTTTTAGATATTTCATTTTTGATTTTAATTTGAAAAAGCCATTGAAGGAAAAATACACGGACCTATTTGGGTAGCTGTTTATTCCTGCTAAGTATGTTTGAAAGCATTAGAACAGTCAGAAATCAGTATAAAAGTAATCAGGTGGTTGAGCATGTGACATAAACTCATGATGATCTAGGTCAGCTGTGGAGCTAATGCAATACTTTGTATGATCAATTCAACAAACAGATACAGCAGAGCTAAATGTGTCCCATCTAATGTTTGAGAAACTGTAGGACCAAATTAGAAAATGCCACTTCCTTTAATAATGACAGTTTGAGCAAGATCTAGATACACAGATCATAAGTGTAACATGAGAGTATTTAGAAGTGCTGATCTATAAGACTGCGTTTACAAAGCTCCAGTGAAGCCAGATCCTTAGACAAACCACAATTTACATGTTGTTCGAATTCAATTGTGGTTGGCAGTTTGGAAAAGCTGGATCAAACCATTGCTACTGAGATTGATCTGCTATGTAACCACATAACCCGGATACTACCGGACAAGGCCATCAGATGCATTTGAGAGCACAGGGAAATGCATGCATTTTGACCATAGACTGTATATTAGGAGTGGACTAAGCGAGTGCTGATGTCAACCATAGTGTTTGCTCTAATCTACCTCGTCCGCATTAAGCAATCTCAAACAGGCAATTTGAGCGGAAATGTGGAGCCAAATGTAGGCAGATAACATAAACACCAGGATCAGAGAAAGCACTAAACCACGGTTTTAAGCCCAAAATGGTTTTCAATGCAAGTCAATAGGAGCCCGAGCGAGCTTTGTAAACACAGAGACGACATCAGTGTTAGTAAGAGTGGAGTCTGATGGGAAAGAAGCAGCAGCAGCAGCAGCAGCAGCATAACAGCAGGAGAGTTGTGTTCACACAGGACACATGGACATGGATCACTAGGAAAGCATATTACTGTGACTGTCTAAGGACAGGCCAGGCGCACACACCACGTTGATAACTACATTTGCATTCAAAACGTCAACCTCCCTTTCTCCTCTAAAACCCTAAAGCAGGGTTAGGGTTATGTAAGGGTTAAAAAGACTTGACCCAGGAACAGATTTCATGATTTAAATGTGTTCATCATTTGTCATGTATCTACAAAAATGTGCAAAAATGTACAGTAGTTTCATCACTGAACATTTGAACCCTCTTAGCTAATGACATACTACTTCCATATTCTTTCAGTAAGAGATTTATCTTCAGATGTATACATACACACACTAATTTATGCATATGTACAGTGTGTGTATATATACAATGCTCACAAAAACTTAGGGCACACTAAAACACAATGTAACTCTGAGTCAGTCAAATTTCTGGGATATCAGACTGTCCAGTTAGGAAGCCACTCTTATTGTGAATCAATTTCACCTGATGTTGTGGAAATTAAACAGACAACAGGTGGAAATGAGAGGCAATTAGCAAGATCACTCCATAAGAGGAATGGTTTTTCCATTACCATTTCTAATGGTAATGGCATTAGAAATGTCATTCATCCTTTGAACCATATTTTTGGAACACTTTTGCATTTGTCCAGTCCACTACCAGAGGTATTCATGAGGAGGCATCTACAACCCACAGAAGTTGCTCAGGGAGTGATGCTCATCCAAAATGGCATGTCCATTCGTGCTGTGGCAAGAAGGTTTGCTGTGTCTCCCAGCGCTGTGTCCAGATCATGGAGGAGACACCAGGAGACAGGCCAGTACACCAGGAGACCTGGGGGGGCCAACCGAGGTCAACAACCCAGCAGCAGGACCGCCATCTGCTCATTCGTGCACAAAGAAACAGGAGAAGCACTGCCCGAGCCCTACAAAATGACCTTCAGAGGGCCACAAATGTGCATGTTGGTACTCTGACGGTCATAAATTGACTCCAAGAGGGTGGTATGAGGGCCCGACGTCCACAAGTTGGGCTGGTACTTACTGCCCAACACCGTGCGCCTGATTGGCAGATTGTCCAATGGTGCCCTGTGCTCTTTACGGATGAGAGCAGGTTCACCCTGAACACATGTGACAGACGTGAAGGAGTCTGGAAACGCCCTGGAGAACGTTCTGCTGCTTGCAACATCATCCAGCATGACCGGTTTGGTGGTGGGTCAGTGATGGTCTGGGGAGGCATTTAATTGGAGGGCCGCACAGCCCTCCATGGGCTAGCCAGAGGTTCCCTGACTGACCATATGCTGGTCCTGTGGGCCCTGGGTTCCTTCTGATGCATGATAATGCCAGGCCACGTGTGACAAGAGTGGGTCAGCAGTTCCTGCATGGTGAAGGTATTGATGTGTTGGACTGGCCCCCAGGTTCCCCAGACTTAAATCCAATAGAGCACATCTGGAACATCATGTCTCGGTCCATCCATCAATGCCACGTTGCAACACAGACTATCCAGGAGCTGACTGACGCTCTAATCCAGGTCTGGGAGGAGATCCCCTCAGGAGGACCTCCGTGGTCTCATCAGGTGCAAGCCCAGGCATTGTAGGGAGTGCATTCAGGCACGTGAAGGCCACACACACTACTGCCGATGATAAAGAATCGTTTTGAGGAATTTCTACAGAATTTGGATCAACGAGTTACCTCATTTGTCACTTTGATTTTGACTATAATTTTGGATTCAGACCTCCAGGGGCTAAGAATTTTATTTCCATTGATCTTTCTTATGTTATTTGGTTCTCAACACACTATGAATAAAGATTTTCATCAAAAAAATCGAATTGATTGACATCTAGGATGTGTTTTTTGAGTGTTCCCTACGTTTTTGTGAGCAGTGTATATTTTCCACAAGAAATTTCCCCACTGTGGGATTTGTTGCATGCATATTTCATCAGTGCTGTAAACACATTACAAAACTACTTTAGAACACTGAAGAATATACTTCAATGTGGCCAATTAATTTTTTTGTTAAAGTGTTCGCAGTCTTACGTAGATTTGATTACATACAGTTTTGTAACTAGTTGCTGGTATCTATGGTAAGCGTCAAAAGTCAAATTTCTGATCTTAGCTAAGAGCTAATTTCTACATAATTCCTTCTTTCTCGGCACATATAAACTGGTCTAACTACCATAAAGTTATTTCTAAAAGGTGACAATGTTAAAAAAAAAAAACCACTTACTATGAAATAATGATCTGGGTAAACATTTTCTAATTTATTTCTTCATGAATTTCTGTTTCCCCTTTGAGTTCTATTGGTGTCCTATTGAAATAGAATTAATTAAAACCTATTAAGGTCAATATAAAAACAAACAAATGCATTGGTGAACAGTATTTTATACTTTGTACATAAAAAAGAAAAACACCTTTTTTATAAAGAAGCAGAGAGGTACAATACTTAATTTTCACTTATCTTGTGTGACAAATGCAAGATAGCAATGGAATCAGTCTGATGAGGACGGAAGTCTGCCGTTGACACCTTACAAGGTGTTAATATCACCATCTACAACTGTCTGGTATAGAATAACTAAACTTATTTGACGAAATGAAACTTCCTAAATTATTACAAAACCTTTCTCCTGACTCACCACCCAAACCCAGAAGCTAATGTGTTCTTCTTCAGCAAAGAATGAATACAGAATATGGCTTTATACTATGATCCATGCGCATGTGGGGGTCAGTCTGAAGCACGTGGAATCAGAGAGAAACCCTTGCACAGACCCGGACTGGACTGGGACAGACTTACCTGGGTCAGTCCTCCCCGTCCTCAGGTGTGATCTCTGTCTCTTTATGAACCACTACTTTGGTCACTGACATGTCTGGGTGCTGCTCTTTGGCCTCCTTTATGGCTTGGGCCAGGGCCTAATGTGGGCGCAGTGCCAGCAGGGACCACAAGGGGGAGACACACAATGAGGGAAAGAGGGCAGGAGGGATGTTGAATTTAAAATCATTACAGCAGCAGCAAGGCTAGTTATACAGGAGTATTAAATTATTTAACATTTTAGTTTATTATCTTGTCATGTGGGAAAATCTCTAGTTTAATGAAGGCAAATCACCTCGTCATGGTCAATGTCGGTGTCTCCCGTGATCACGATTCTCTTTTCGATTCTTGTCTCTGAGACTCCTCCTTTCACAGTCTGAAATAAGAAAATACATCTAAAATAGGCACAATGGGGACAGGTCAAATGGAACCACAATATAATTTACTTAATATGGACAAGTGAAAAAATAAAATGGGAAATATAAACATTTATATTTGTATGTGTCCAATTGTATCACACTGTTTTAATTGTGTTGTTTAAATTATAAAATTATTGAGCCGATCTGTGGAGTGGTCAAACATACAGTTCTTGGAATCAGCCCAGGAATTTACAGGAACTCTCCAGCTTTACCATCAAAGAAGATAAAGAACTTCATCCACAACTACCACAAAAGACCGTCGTAGATGTTAAAGACAACACGACATGCTATAGAGAACTGGAGGATGGAGACTGCGTGTGAAATCTTTCAAGCACAAATGTGCTTCGGTTATTGTGTGGACTTGGAGGTAAACTACTGCCAGTTTGAATCCAGGAGAATGTCTGTATGCACTCACTGGGTCATTTTGGGTCAATTTATGTGTGGCAAGGCAAGGCAGATTTATTTATAAAGCACTATTAATGCAAAAGCAACCCAGGGTGCTTAACACAGAGAGAACATTGAAATAAAATGTTTAATTGTTTCCCAATGTAATGAATAGCCATGTTTTATCCTGATTTAAAGACCTTATGACGGGTTTGATTTATTTAGAAATACAGTTTTAATACCATTTTATATTAGAAGAGAACTACTAAAGGTTTCAAAATCAGTTGTTGTTTTTTTTGTCTGATCCCCCCAAATCGAAATAAACCCATAGCAACGCCCTTAGAAACGAAAAAACTTCACAGCCCTTGGTGACGTCAGAACGGGTACGTTTCAACGCTGTAAGTTGTTTACAATTTGGTATTCGTTCTTTTTTCGCAGATATTCAAGATGACAAGGCCGTGTACAGCGAGTTTTATATAACTACTAGAATGTAACAATTCTTTGTCACTGAGATAGTCCAGTGGTTGTGTTGATGGACTGCCAATCCAGATACTTGGGTTCAATTCCCTCCTCGGACACTTTTTCACACTCAAAACGGCAATTTATGTGTAGTGAGCAATTGTCACCTGTAGAGTGCAGTATTGTGTTGGGCATCAGTGGAGAGAAGAGAGAAAAGGCAGTCTTGTGGCATAGATCCATGGTTTTCAATGCATGGGCTTACCCGCTATGACGTCACACACAGGTTAGAGCATAGACAACTTAAATTCATGAAAAACACGTTCTTTTTATAAAATATAGGATTTTTTTTGCCGGAATCTCTTTCAAATTGACATTGTCATGCAATTTTGATATCCACTATATTTTTTTTTAAAAACCCGTCATAAGGTCTTTAAAGGCACCTATAGTTATAGTTATATAGTTATAGAATAGTTCTCAATTGGGGAAGAGTGTTAAACAGATAAGGAGCATAAAAACTAAATGCTGCCTTACTCTCCTCACTATAGCCCTAAATCACAACAACAGTCATCACGTAGGATGAATGATGATACAATTCGCCAATAACAGGATCAGAGAATCAAACATTTCAAACAGAGGAATTGCTACAATTGCAGACATATGAGCATGTTATGAAAGGAGCTATACCCATTTCTGCAAGTTTTTTTTCAGTTTGAATGTTTAGCACCGTCCCCCAACTCGCTCACAGGCTTCTCATTTCCCCTTCGCTCTCATCCCACGGAGCCATCTAGTTTTATTTGCGATCTGAGGCGTATGCAAACATTAGCATTAGCGCAACTTCTTGTAAGCTGTACAACAATCACTGATGAAATGATACAAAAGCAATGCATTGCTAACAAAATATATAACTAAAAGATTACCGCTAGTTTAGCGTCCTAATATAGTTCAAGGTGGTCCCGCTCCTGCAGGTCTCTCCAGAGGATATGATGTGAACTATATTCACCCGGGCTTGATTTCTTATTTGATAATTTTTTCTTTTTAGTTCCCTTTTATCTTCCTCAAGATGGAAGATAGGGCCGTTTTGCTGTATCTGCAGTTACAGCCAGGAGTTCTAGCCACTTTCTGCCTCCATTCTGCTTGTTTACCAGCGCTGTAGAAGCTAGAGGACGCAGCCTGTTCTAACAGCGCCGCTCCTCATTCTGTGATTGGAGGAGAGCTAGCGTCACGCTAGCGTCACGCTAGCACAAGTTTCTACTCAGCACTTTTTACGGCCTGAATTCATATACAAGCTGAATCAATGAGCTCAAGTTTTCAATTTAATTACGGGTTTTAATACAACTTGTATGTAGTAATATGCATTTTTATGAACTCATTAGAAAATAAATCGGGTATAGCTTCTTTAAATGTGCATCAATGTTAATGAATGTCCATACATGCCCTGGCTCACCACAGTCCTTTGACCCTCCTGCATCAGCAAAGAGCGACTCAAAAAACCCAGGGGGATCCGCTACCACAAACGGACAGGTGATAGAACCAGAACTGAGGCTGGAGGCTTTAGCATTTTTAGAAACAATGAAGTGTGAAATGCGTGAAATGTATGTGATCTGCATGAGGGAGCTCAGACCTTGGTGATGTGAGTGGTCGTGGTGGTGCCTGTGCTCTCTGAGGTGATGGTCTGAGCACTCAGCAACACTCCAGGCTCCGCGTCACCATTCGTCTCCGCCTGCAACGAGAACATGGTTTAAACATAATTTATGCCACTCTCGGAAGGATGGTTTGTACCTCAGAGTTGCAGATATTAATGGTTCTTAAACAACAAAAATGCTACTACTGTATGTTAAAAAAGTACATCTAACTAGCTCCCCTTTTCAAAATAGTTTGGTTCCTTCTCTAGATTTCACATGCATGAACTTTTAGCCTCTGAAGATTCTTTCTGCTGGGACAAATAACATGTATTATTTATGAAACAAAAAAGTGACGTTACCTAGCTTTAACAAACACAAAAGGCTTCGAATATATATATAGCTCTTTGTTGTGTCCTTGCAGCTAAAGCAGCAAAAGAAGCTAAATTGGACCAAGTCAGCCCAAAAAAGTTGCCAAGATGGAATTGATCATAGCGGCAAATATGGGGAGGACATGAGACTACTGCACCTTGATTAATTAAATACAATCTATTTTTGCATTGCCCTAATTCACAGCAGTGGTATCGGAGGATTTTACAGAGTTGTTGATTGCTCATCATCAGATCAGAGAATCAAACAGTTCGAACACAGGTAATACACTAATAACATTGGTGCAAATGGGGCAGGATGACCTGTGCCCATAAATGTAAATAAACATTACTGATGAAGTTTGTGGCATGTTTATTTTTCCACCACATATAGTGAAATAAAGGAGTGACTGAGTATTGTGGTCGGTCTTCCTGAAAATGTGACACGGGCTTCTACTCTGACAATGTTCAAATCCATGTTCAAAAACAGATGTGCATACAACTGAAGGATTGCATCTTTACTCCTAAAGGTACTGTGATTTTTTTAATGCCATGATTTTTATTATGTTAATCACTTTGAGTTGCCTTGCCACTGTACACCCAACAGTACTTCATCTATTTAGTCTTACCTCCCCAGACTCGTAGGTGATGGTTTTTGTCTCTGTGTGGACCACAGGAGGCATCTCTTTGGTGCTCGTACCGTTTTCAACAGTCTGTAAGAAGGAAAATATAAGTGGAAGAAGGGGAAAAAGACGAACATTGAAAATCTGCAATACTTAGATTACAATGAAAGATCCTTTATTCCTCCAACAGTGGGAACATTTCAGCTAGGTAACCTCAAAACGTTGCTATAGTACAATAGGTCTGGCATGCGCCGCCTGTACTGGCGACCCCGATCCCGTCTCTGTGTGGAGTGAGAGGAAAAATGCCCACAACAATTGTAAAGCACTTTGTGACTCTGGTCTGTGAATGGCGCTATATAAATAAAGACGACTTACTTACTAGAGCCTCTATAGGTGCCCTGCAGGGACAGAGCAGTGTCATTCTTTGAGTAGAGAACCAATTTAGCTCAGGTATTCCCTTTTCCCTCACGTAATAAATGTTGCAAAATTAAGTTTGTCCACTTGAGGACACCACTATTGTACATTTACCATGTACCAATTTCTTTACAAAAGATGCACTATTGAAATTGACTAACGCAGAACAAGACACAAACTATTACAATCCTGGATCGCTCAGCAAACATGCAGTCATGCGTTTAGAGTCACACCCTTTTCCAGTGAAGGAGAAATCACAAGGTTTTGATCAAGAACGCCATCGCTGCGCTGCATTTGAAATTGCCCAGAAAAAAGGGGTGAAATTAAGATCTGTCCGTGCTTGTTTTCCATTGCATTTCCCTTTGATTATGGAGCGCAGAATGTGCCGTCAAGAGGGAAAAGCGGAGGTGAGGTGATAGAGACGCATGGACTCCGAAAAGGTTACCTCACATAGCTCTTGGGGGCTTTCCTTGTGGGACAGGTCACTTTGCAAACCTCCAAGGATTTCTGCCTTTGTTTCATCCGTAGTCTCCAAGTTAGTTGCTTCTAAATCTTTGTTGAACTCTTCTCGCTCGTCGTTTCCGTACTTCAAGCGTTCCGGTTGTAATCTATGGTATTTTTCCTTTTCGTAAGACGTGCTTGGGTTTCGCTCTAGATCCTCTAGGACTAAATTGTCGCAAGTTCCAACCGCTGCATGTACCTCAACGTCATTATAATATGTGACTGCGTCTGCAAATTTCACCCTTTTCTCAAAATGTTTACTTGCTTTAACAACTTTATGAGACTTCTCACTTGCTTTTCTGGTAAGGACATTATAGTTCCTTCTGGTGGGGCTCACTGTGAATCTAAAGCCATCATTATCATTGGTCAAAACCTCCTCATCCACATTTCCAACAAAAAAATCATTGCTTTCCACAATCAGCGGCTCTCGTTGGGAATTGGTAACGTGAATTTGCACAGGGTGAGAAGGCAGCTGGCTCGGCTTATCTTTTGCTATAAACGCTGTGTTGGACATTTCTTTAAGCACGTGTTTTGCATTGGAAGCCTGGATATTCACCGTTGGACTTGTGGGTTCGGCTTGATCTGGTTTTGCCTCTGTTGCTACTTCGGTCTTGTCTTCTACAACCGGTGACGTCTGCCAAAGAGGAAACCAAAATCACATTATTCAATTACATCTGAGTGGCAAAGTAACGTCTGCTTGACTGATGACTTCAACTTTGATGCACAGATTTGAATCATTTGAAATGTTTTTGGATGCTAGTTTGAAAGTTAGGTACCCCAGGTTAAACACGGGTCAACACAGGTGTCTGTATAGAATGTTGCAATACAGTTGTGTGTTGTAATTGCTGATAGGTCTGAACTGAATTTATCGAGCAGACAAAGCAGAACTGGACACAGACAGACAACACACTATAATAGGGATGCATAATGAGGAAGGTCACCTTTGAAGAAGAGAGGATTCCCAGAGTGGACTAAAGCGACAGAAGGAGATAAAGCAGAACAATTAGAATATTCACAAATTACCGCACACTGCTTGAGATGGGGAAATGAGGAGGGCCAAAGCAAGGAGAAGCAAGTCAGAAAAACAGCTTCATTAAAACATTAATATGAACACCTTTTGACATATGCAATGTAGGGGTTCTGTGTTACATGCTCAATATTCTGTAGAGCAGACCTTTTCAACTTTTATATATTTTATGGCAAGTCTATTTTTTTGGACGTTTTTGTTCCAAATTGTCTCGTCTGTGCGTTGAATGCGTGAGGGAGTGTGTGTTTGTACAATTTTGAAATAAATATATTGATTGATTGTTGGATCAGAATGCTTGGCAATTTGAATAGGTCTGCATTACACATTTAGAAATTCATATTATAAACAGGCAATACACTGCTTACAAATGTGTTAGCCATGTTGTCCAAAGTCACCTACTTCTCCTTTCAATACATTACAGATTGTATGGAACACCATTATGCCATGAGATGTTTTTGGTGATGTTATTCAGTGGTCTCATTAGTTGTCGGTAGAACCATACAATATTGCTGAGATATTACCGAGGCAGCAGGGATATTTTGAAAATGAGAAGGGAGGAGGACAAAGCCGTTAATATTATTTTGTGTGACTGGATCAAAGCGCTGAGGAAGAAAGCAATGTTGGAGCGAAGCAGTGACCACAAAAAAGCATAAGATTTCTTTCCTTCCACAGCCAAGGAGAGCCAGCTGGTGAGGGAAGAACAGATCAAAAACAACAAGCACCCAGTTTGGAGGCATTGCAAACTGGCATTTACTTTAAACGCTGGTGTTAAGAGAGTGGTTTTAAGGATGTAACAATATTAGCAAAATTAATCATTAAACAGTGTTTCCAGAAAGGGCTGCACGATTTTGGAATTTTCTGACCAACACAGGGATTGCAGAGAAAATTTTGATACCCTGTATTTTTTAAAAGTCTGAATTTGATCAGAGTAAAAAAAAAACCAAGGATATTCCATTTGTAAAAGCGGCAATATGAAGTGATTACAGAACCTGAAAATGAAACAGCACGCTTGTCCTTTTTATGGTACTCATGCACATCTTTTCCCCACACATTTCAGTAAATGTCTAGACTTCTAACTTATATTAGAACCATTAATTTAAGGACAAATAAAAAAGATTAATTGCAAACATTTAAAATACACATCAAACCTTGAATCAAAGGTGATGTCAGCAACTTTATAGTCCGTCCTCTTTGCAAAACCATGACCAATAATACTTTCTGGAGAATAGTTCGAGCAATGGCAAGGATTTGAATAGACATCGTCCAATCAGAAAGGTGAGCATGGGTAGGTTTTACTGACACTTGCGTTTGAAATGTTTTTCTCGTCACAATATGAAAATGAAGTTTTTCTTTTATTTCTTTTTACTTTAAATTCTTATCATCCCAGAGTTGTACACAAACTATATGTCAATAAAAAATATTTAAACAGATGAGATTGTCTTATTTGGAAAGAGGACATGCAAAAAAACACTATACTTCAAAATAAAAAAGGGACTAAAGAAAACTCAGATTAAGAGACTTGATTTGAGTTTTCTCTCGTCCCTGTTTTGTTTTTTAAGAACTGAGGTAATTGCAGTTTTTGTGATTAACTAATTGCTATTTCGATTCCAGACGTGCAGCCCCAGTTGTCAGTGAAACAAACTGCATACTCAAGTGTTGAAAATTACAAATATTACTCGAGGCACAGATCAGAATCCAATCTCCACTGCTTTGACCGTGCAGGTAAAGGAGATTACTTCAAGTAGGTTTTAGATATGCCCCAGAATAGTACAAAAAAAGGTATCAATTTTGAATATTGTTACATCCCATGCTGAATAAGCCATGCATGTCATTGCCTTTACAGCATTTGGACTCGCTCAGCTGTTACAACAGGGAGGCAATGGGAGGTAGTGGAAGTGACGTAAGCCATTTTATTATCCTGCTATTGGATTGTAATGATCTTTTACAATACCACGGCTAAAGTCGTCGTTGCAATTTGCTCCACGCTGGTCAACTTCTCGTCTCTCAAAGTAACAACGTCTGAATTTTCTTGCTCTGTTTGACCATTTTCCTGCTTCATGTCTTTGTCTGCCGTAATTGTAAGAACTTTTTCCCCGGTTGTGAAGGCGACATCTTCCTTCATCACCACAGCAACAGCAGTTTCCTCAAAAGTCATGGAAAATACGTCCTCCGTCGCATCAAAAACAGGAACTCTGGAATTTACTTTAGACTCTTCTTCCTTGGTAATCCAAAACGCCATCGCTTTCTTTGGAGATTCAATATTTTTTACGTCGTTTATGAGAGTTTCTGCTTCAAGTTTAGAGCCGTGTACACCAATTTTGCCATTTTGACCGATTAAAGTAGCTTGCTTGACATTTTTTGCGGAATTTTCTTCTATTGCATTTCCTGATTGATTTTTCTCATTCAAATCTCCCTCCGAGTAGCTTTTGTCCTCTGCATCCTTGAGTATTATCAGCATCCCACGTTTGTCGCTAATGGCCTGGGAGACTTCTTGCCGCACTGCTCCAGGACTGAGCCGGGCCATGGACTTTTCTGAAGCCGCGGAATCCGGAGTCTTACAGTCGGCCTCCCGCAGCGTGCCATCCAGGAATACGTCGTCTTCCATCGTGGTGGAAAGGCTGATGCCCTGCGGGCCGGAGGAAGTCTGCCCTTCTGTAACCAAACTGTCTGCGATGCATTTGACCAGATAACCTGTTGCCTAGAACAAACTGGGTTTTGAGAAACTTGAGGGGAAAAAAAGTTGAAAAAGCAGTGCAGTGCAGACAATGCAGAAGATAGAAGATATTAGAAACAAGAAACATGAGCACAAGACATGGACAAGACAAACTTTAAGGTCTAAAAGATTGCTGAGGAGGGAGAAGGGATACAAAGATTGTGTGTACAAGCTAATTATAATAGATTTAGTTATGCATTTATTTTACATCAGACAACGGATGATAGCAACAAAAAGCTTAATCTACAAAGACGATAGAATGAACCTTCCCATGCTAATTATAATGGACTTTAACACTGTATAAAATAGCGTGTATTCTGTGTCATTTTTCTTTATCCACCTATATCTATCTGTGGTAACAATAGGGGTGTAGCGATACATTTCACAAAACGATATGCTACACAATATTCAGTTCACGATACAATATTTAGCCATGATAGATACAAACCTATGAAGAGTAAATACATAATGCGATGAAAATAACAATGGTGCGTTAAAAAGTGCACATTTATTTAGCAGTGTGGAAAAAAATAGCCCAAAAAGTCACAGTGGACGAGCTCCTATGATGCATTGCGCCAAATCTAATACACGTGCACAGAGGGGCTTACCGCTCTAACTCCGCTCTGACCAATCAGCTGCTGCTTATCAGAAAGGAGTTAGAGCGGTAGCCAAACGAGCAGAGTTTGTTGCATTAAATTGTAGATTTATAAAAAACCGAAGGATTTAACAAGAAAAAAGTTCAGGATGACACTAAAATGCCCACAAAATGTGACCATTATGAAAGCTGTAGGTTCTCCGTCAGCTGAGGTCCAGATGTTTTAGTTTACATTGAGTTCTTAAGGACATTTTTCTGAGTAGCCCACGTGAATTTAGTATGCAGTAACGCGGGTGCCCCTTGTGCCCATTTGTGGGACAGCTATAAGCTAGTTTTACCCTATCCAGATATTATAGATCCAAGGGAAGAGACAGACTCTGGCGTCTGTGCAGTACGGGGCAGGTTAAACACGGGGGTTTGAAAGGGACTTACGTATTGATACTCGCGACTAAGAAATTGATATTGTATTGCGGGGAAAAAAAATAAATATAAGATTTATATTGCAGTTATTATTTTTTTTATTTTGTTTTTAACCCCTAGGTAACAATATGCAATACGGTTTCAGATTGTGGCCATACAATTTTCTTTCCAAAAAAGTTCCGAAAAGTTATAATTCTTGTTTTAAGTGATTAAATAGTTCATTTCAACATTTAAAAAGTCAGAACTGGATTGATTTGAAATGGGTCCATTTCTGCTTAAACCCAATTAGTTATACGTTACCTATGTGCAGGCACCAGAATAAGCACATGTACTCTCACTTCTATTACAAACCAACTGAATGCAATGCAAAACAATACATTAATAATAAGAGCTGTGTATTTACCTCAATGGTTTTGGGTTCCTCCTTTGTCAGCTCATCCGGAGTCTGATAAAAAACAATCATACAATTATTATCAATAATTGTAAGTTTGTAAAAGCAGCATGTGTTCGAAGCACACAGACATTATTGAAGTCAAACGGTCAACTATATTGCTGAACAACACAAGAACATCCAGATCAGTTATCAGCATGCATGGTACCACCAACATGTTAAGTAGTCTCCTAAGCTAATATGGACTGGATGGATGGAGCTCGAGGAGAATCCTGCAGATTTTCATAACACTACTTTTCAATGCACGGCATTCTTTCAAGTTAAAATATATGAAACTCAACATGCAATATAGTGATAATCAATGACACCCGTGGCTCATTATTGTACATTTAGCAGAAAGATGCCTTTCTATAAAATATTGAGTGCATAAACCCCCCAAAAATGAAACGATGTATAAAAGACCAGTCTAACAAGAGTTGGTCCATGCGGTTCAACATTTCTGAAACAGGCAAGGCTTTTCCCCATGCTCTTAAATACATCTGCTGGCCTTGTCTCAGTAGTATCTGGTGTAGATTTCTGGCCCCTTTAAAACCAAAATGACCACACAACACCGCCAAATCACAATGATACAACACAATCATGTATAAGTCCACTTAACAACAGCACCCATGTACCACAGTCACACTTACCGAATGTGTCGAAACAAAAGAGAAGTCTAATCAGTTTAGTTTGATTTATTTCTGTCAAAAATAATATAATAAAGCAGCTCTTTCTCTCCTGCGGTACATCACTTCCATATAAACCGTGGGAGCTACTATTTTTCTTTAGTTAAAAATCATACATTTCAGACATTTAAGTGCTGCATGTTCTCCCAGCATCTGTTTAGGTTTCCCCTACCAATAAACCCATGTACATTAGCATTTGTATAATTCAAAATTGACACCAAAATATTTACCTTTACAGCAAATTAATATGGTCAAAAAATTGTGTATCGGTCCTGGAAAAACACATCGGTCGACCTCCAATGAGAAAATAAATGACTCAAACATACTTGAATCTCTCTAAAAAAAACTATAGACAAGTTGTTCAGCCATCTGTGTGCTACATCAACCACTTCTTGCATGTCAAAACCCTCCTCTCTCTCCCCCATGCTCCTCTTACATCCTGCAGCTCCAGTGGTTCTATCATGGGCGCTTCTTCAGGTTTGGGGGAGGAAGTGAGGCGTCGGTCCCACTCGCTCAGGCCCGGGGAGGTGGCGCCCGTCTCCAGGAAGGATCTTTTCAGTTCGCTGATGTTGGTCTGATGCTTCACCACCTCTGCGGGGGTGGAGCTGTCCTGAAGTGACCCAACGCAATGAAGGAATCTTTAAACCTGTCCAATGTTGAAGGGAGCGCATGCTTTTTGAACACTGATGCATAGTGAATACCCAAAATGCATCAAAATGCAACAAAAACAGGCCGTGCGCAGATTTTAAAGAAAGGGTCTGCAAGCTTTGGGTTTTACATATACTTTTGTGACCTTTTCCTGAAAAAACAAACGACTTCAGCATTAGGTCTAAAAAAGTGTAAGACGTAACTTTTCAGATTTTGTTATATGGCCCAGCAACTGAGCAACTATTCATGTTTGTATATTCAATTGTTTTTACCTTAATGACAAATTAATAAAATAACTGGATAGTCTAGATCCCAAATGTAGTTTTGATGGTAATTTTACATTTACAATGGCTAATTTTACTCAATTATACTTTGAAGATGTATGCAAGATATTGAGCCATAATGAATGGAATACTGTGAACCATTCTAGGAGAGCATCAACCTGACAGAAATCAGGAAAGTTTCCTTCTGCACTTAAAATGATTGCTTGAAATGGTAAAAACTTATCTGGCCAGCAAAAAACAATTATCTTAAGAACTTCAAGGGTCATAGTATGTAGTCAATGTACTCAATGTCAAAATTTGTGATGCAGTTATGACTCAGATGTAAGTGGAGAAAGCATTGACAAATTTTGGTTGTAAAATTGGCCTCAGTCACACAATAAAGGCCCTTTCTCCATGCAGTGTGTTAGTTGCTTTTTAAAGTAGATGTGGTATTTAAAAAAAACGTAGTTTCTTCACTAGAGCTGCACAATTATATAAGAATATTGAATGGCATTTATACAAACACAATTCAGTTTAAAAAAGGGGATTTTTGTTCAACATGCGGTCTCAATTTCCACTAACATTTACTGCACAAAATCCAAGAAATCACTGCAAACTTCAGTTATGTTAAAAGCAGTTCATCGGATCAGACTGGTAGATTATTCGAATTAAGTTTCAGCAGAGAAAAACAGTCCATGCGGCTTCATGGCTCACCAACCTCCAGCATCAGATTGCTGTGTCTGATAAAAACGTTCTCTCCTTTTACGCGTCTTATGAAACTGTACTGTGAAAAAGATTTAAACAATAACAGCGAGGTGATTAGAACATGGTCTTGGGTGTGTGCAACCAACATCTGTTTTACAAAAAAAACACTTAACTATTTAGAATTGTGAAGGGTTCTTTTTCACAAACTCGTGACTGGATTGAAAAAGAACCCACAACCTTCAGGGTCAAAGGCCAACGTTCTACCAACTGAGCCACTGTCGCCCATGGAGAAGGAAGGGATATGTAAAATTGAAATATACACGCCTTGTATAAGAAGTATTTTTCCTGACTCTCACCTGCGCTGCGGCAGTCAATGTTACTTTCTGCCTAACCAAGCCTCCACTGTATGGAGGCAGACCTTAAATACTCCTTGCTTGCCCCTTAAGGCGCGTTCAGACCGCCAACGCTGGAACGCTGACGCCTCGCGCACCAGACGCACATCCTCTAAATTTTCAGACGCAGGGGTATTCAGACCAGAAGTCCTGGGCTGCGGTGGCGCCCGACGGAAGTGGCGGAAGCGGACTTGGATGCTAAAGGAGTTAAGCTAGCGGCTATTTGTGTAAAGTTCTTTGATAATGCAGCTCTGCAGCGTCTGTGTCCAGAGACCTTCCAGAGACTTTATATAAAAGCAGTATGTGTTCACACAGGTGCGGCATAAGTTTATTTTATTATTAAACGGTACTTCCGCATCTGCGAACATTCTCGAAGCAGTTGTATACAGTCACGGGAGCACGAGAACACATATGTTCACAAGCACAGAGTCCCCCATTGTCAACCCTGGTTTAGTCTTGATGTAGCTCCTGTTTTGGCTGTTTACGAGTATTTTCAGTCTGCTCGCTCAGACCACTAATGTCCACAGTTAAGTGTCAATTGAAGTATCTCGACTTTAAAAGGTTATAACTTAAAAACTAAAATTACTATCATAGATTGGAAAAAAGATTTCAAACACAGACACATCAAAGAGATAGTGTGGATAAAATCAAAAGGAAAGATTGTCAAATATATTTTTGGTGACATTTTAAACGACAAAATCAGCCTCTTTTTTGACCATTCTACTGTGACGCCAGTTACATAGAAAATAAAATGTCCTCAGTCTGAAAAAGCAGAAGATGAAATCCCACAAGATTATTATGGTTAACACAACATCAGGAAATCACTTGATATGAAAAGGAATCGTTAAAAAATAAAAAATAATTAATTAATTAAATGACCCCTGAAAAATGTATAACGGACGTGATGAGGACGGTCCTCTTTTCTCTAAAATTTAAACTTGAGAAAGAAAAAAATCTTGTCTGTTTTCACATTTAATTGGTTGACATTATGAAAGTATCACTTTGTTTCTACTCTGTGTAAAAAAATAGAATCTCTGAATCAATTGTGGACATCTGAAAATACCTATCAAACTTCCGCAAAGCTCATTCCGTCAAATCATCACGTCCGTTAGATAAAATAAACAGGGCCGCTATAGGAAACTTGTCTAATGTATAAAACAGTTATGTTCTAGCAACTTCTAATGGACAGAGGAGGTATTTGGAAACATGAAAAACATAAAATATCTTATGATTATTAAAATCTAATTTTTGGCCTTTTGTCACACTTTTGTGCCCTTTAGTGTGAACAAGCCCATATGCATTTGAATGTAATTAATGTTTTTGTTATTTGTCTCTTGCGTTTCAATGCAGATTGCAATTTTAGGCGAAAGAAAAAAATATCGCAATAATATCGTTATCGCAATCATCAAATATCGCTCCAATTTCCAATATTGTGCAGCCCTATATAGTACCATTACAAAATTATGAAATAGTAGTTTCAACAACAAGGCCCGACATATGAGGAAAAGGGCAAAGTAACCATAAATACGAGCATGGAAAAAACCCAAATATATTAAGAAGTCACCAGCATGAAAGCAACAGCAGCAAAAACAGTGAAATAAATGAGAGAAGAATTGACGGGGCTTATTTTGGGATGTGAGCAGGAGAAAAAGCAAAGCCAGTGCAAATTTGCAAGAAAATAAATAAAACATATTTAGCAGCTGTATGTGTCTGAGAAGAGCCGTGAAGCAAGGACACGGCAGCGGTTCTCAAACAGTTAGAGGACAATTTCAACTACCACTAAACTTTTGAAGCAGTAAGTGAATAAGTTTAGATCCATGGGAAATACTTTATCCCTATTAGGGACAAAGGGGCTTCAGAATCCAGGACACATTGTATGCCGGGATTTGATTTTCCACAAACATAGGATCATGAGGTTCAGAGGATCATGTATTTTGAAATGCGGTCCCATCTTTAGTCCAGTTGAGAACCGCTGCTCAGTACAAAGCTGAAGCCTCTACCTGTGTACGCATCTCAGAGTCCTCATCCACCTCCGACTGCAGCAGGAGAGAGAAAAAATGGTTTAGGTCAGAAGGGAAGTGAAAGAAGAGACAGTAGCAAGTGTATGGTATGAGACCAGTGAGGAGGAAGACTCTAGGCGCCGTTCACACTTGCTCTGGTCAACTCAAACGGGACCAATTCCGTGATTTGTGGATGTAAAACCACCAAACATGTAAAAATGAGACCGAAGTGACAAGTGGACACATGTTTTAAAGCAGGTGAAGCATTTTGTTTCAAGTGAACCAGACTTGGTCTAGTTAAAGTGAACCAGATCAAGTGTAAAAGCAACCTTTATCTGCAGCGTAAAAGAGTCACGTTATAAGAAAGGTAATGCCAATTATTATGCAATACATTGTACAAAAAATGGACCAAAGAAACCCTTTTTACCAATGGAGTTAGGACACAGATGACCAATATAGATGAACAAGACAGACAAGCACAATTTGATGAAAATGTCAAAGGCTGGCAATTTACACTTTCAAATATTGTTGGGATGAATTGTCTTGATGTCCTGCTCTCAATGGTCCCTCTTCATTGGGGGGCACCACTGTGCCTCCCCCATGAACTGTGTCTCTGACAGTGGGCAAAAGGCCTCTCTCCATGTGGGTATGTGTGACTCGTTATCTACTGTCTGAATGTATTTTGTAACTGTTTAATGTCATTAAAATGTCCTCTTATACATCCAGTCGGTGTATGCCTAATATATTAAGAAGCAACTAGATCTCATTACATATTATTCCATCAAATGTCGTTACTCACTAAACGTCAATAACATGAAGACATTTGTATACAAATGAAAAAATATATAAATAAGGTGATACATGTACAATAGTCTAGAAAGAGACATACTCCATAATATTTTATACAGAACAGAGATTGGCATGGTGTGATTAATAGCTGCATCAATTAATAGTCAAAATAATTATAATTTTGGCAATATTTCAAACAGACATTTCACTATTTAAAAAGGAGTGGTCGCAATGGAAAAACAGTGGCCACACTCTGTCTATATACTATATTATTGTAACTTTGAAAAGGGTGTGAAACTGTGAAATCTGGGCTGGAAGACCCAACAGAACATATGTTTGATGTTGTTCTTGTAGTCTTCTGCACATGGGAATGAAAAGAAAAAAATGCTCCATGCTTTAACAAGAGGGATTCCTTCCATGTACAAACCTCGGTGGGGGTCATATCTCCATCAAACGCAAAGTCAGTCTGTTCACTGTCAGTCTACAGACCAAACAAGTTCCGGAGAGCGTAAAAAACGAGAAAAGCCCACTTTTAACACATTACTCACCATGAGATGACATAAGAACACAAATGGAGAGAATGAGCATGTAATCACACATGGTTACATATAGTGAGACAGATAAACTGGACACCAGCAGAAGAAAAGGGAAGGCAAATGAAAAAGTAAGCAGAGCAACAGACTCAGAGGTTCTTTTTTTAATTGGGCGAGGAATGTTTTGAAATAAGTGCAGGATTAGCAGGGATTGAACTGTATTCACCCACAAAAGAAAAGTTATTGATAGTAGATGATAGTAGACAAATATCGTTATGTTTTTTTGGTCGCATTTGACTTTCAGGCCCTCTTCCTTCTCTTCATGCATGTGAAGACATGGATTCAACCAACAACCTCTCTGCATTACGTAACTTCTCGCATAATGATGTAAATTATAAAATTGGTTTCATAATTTAGAAGCAGAACGCGAGGAGGCGGCTTCAGCTGATGTCTAAACTAAATCATTTTTTGGATTCTGTGCTGCTTTGAGTAACACAGAGAGGCTGAATCATGAACAATGAGAAGCTTCATGCACTGGTGAACTGGTGAAGTGGGACATTTTGTGAGAATGCCATGTTGAGAGATGCCATGACAGCATTGAAATGGCTTGGACAAAGTTATGATTCCAGTTTTTTTTTTTTTTAGTAATACAAAATAAATGGGTTGGCTTTCCATGTAGTAAGCTAATTTCTAGAATGTGAGGCTTTAAACAGTGACGTCAAATAGTAAGAACATGTATTCTATACCCTTAGCAAGGCAGCTGGTACACTTTGGGTGAAGAAATTAATCCCAAGAGCACTTAAAAACTTGATATTGTAGTAATTTCAACAGCTTTCAGAGTAAAATCTTCTGTAATTCAACTTACAATGTGAAACCAATATAGAACAGAATTGGCTCACAGTGCGTAAAACCCAAATAAAAAATATCAAAAAATTACAATGCCTTCAACTCTGCTGCACTGACCTAAAGTGCTGCTCAATTGTATTACTATTGTTAGGTACTTTTAGAATGATGTAATTATGTGTTTCTGCGGCTACTGGACACCTGAATTTCTCCTACGGGAATCAATAAAGTATCAATCGATCTATAATGGACTGCAAGCAGTAATCATCAAAATGTTAACAAAGGCTTGGCATATTATCTACTGACCTTTATTTAACCAAGAAAGTCCCAGTCACTTTGTATATAATGCAAATTATGTCATATATTGGTTTCACAATATTACATAAATAAATAAACTTGGGAACAATATTTTATGTTTTGTTTGTTTCACCTGTAATGGTGAAAATGTAATTTCAGAAGCATAAGTCACATTCCTGTCCTGAATATGTTGCTCATTATAAAATGCAAAGAAGCAGCTAGTTTTGTGATGGGAGCAGTCTGTGACATGGGCAGGCTGGTGGTTTGTGAGTAACCCAGTCAGTTCAAATGAAGTGATCAGACTTGCACTGAGCTGTGTTGATGACATGACTGGAGATGAGGTTCTGAAAGGGGGAGTTCACCGGACAAGCTCCCGTCCCCCACAAACGCACACGGGACAATGTTTGAGAGTGAAAAGAAAGATGTGGCATGTAACTTTGCAGTTGCAGGGTCTGTCATCCGATTGTCGTCACGGAGACGTCTTGTATTGTCTGGATTATCCCACAATAAACTACTCCATGTCCACATAAGTCATTTTGAAACTTGAGAAAAAAAAAAAAGTATGCTGTCTGAATGTATTGCATTATTATTATTATTGTACTTTTTATATTTTATTAATGTTTTCATTTATCTTCTGAGTCAATAATCTGTAATATGCCCTCTATAAATAAAGGACACTAACACAACACATTTTTGTGCGTGAAACTGGAAAACCAGCTGGTATGAAGTTTTTTTTTTTATTTTATGTAATGAGAATAAACCCAATCAGGAAATCTTTAAGAAAAATGGCTTCATCCAAATTTTTTCTGTAGTTCATTCTACAAGGCTGAGTGTCTTTGAGAGTCCAAAAAGCGCTATGTCATTGTACGATGTATTATTATGCTATCCAGAAACACCAACATCTCCATTGAGGAAAACATATGACCGATCCCCACCTGCGCAGTTACATATGCCACAGATAACATGAAGTGCACAGGCACACACCTCCTCTTCCTCTGAACTGTCATGGTCAGTGTATTCCTGAGCTATGCAGGTGGTCAGGGTGGCAGCTTTGGGCTCCAGGTAGCAAAGACACAGCGCCAAGGGGAATGACAGCGTGAGGGCGTATGGCACAGAGAAAGAGGTGGACAGCAGGAAGAAGAAGATGAAGAGAAAGCACGGGATGAGAGATGGCGACTTGATGGGCACGAAGTTCTGCGCGCACTCCGGCAAGAAACGCATCTCCGTCAAATCCGGGAATGTGAGGTAGCCGTCTTCGTCCAAAATGGAGGACATGTCGGGCAGGTGCAGGGAGAACGAAAAGAGGGTACCTCCCCGCGGCTTAGATTCGAGACGCTGTTTACGCGCGGAAAGCAAAAGCGCTTGTTCTTGCAGCAGCGCAGCTTTGCGGTCGGCTTTGGCTTGCCTACGCTTGCGGCTTTCCCCGGTTTTGGCCGGGCTCACGGACGACGCACGCTTTCTTGCGGGTTCCCTGCGTCGGCGGCGGAGTTTGTTGGATACAACTGGGGACGAGGGGAGGGAGAGCACATTGTACTGATGGGAAGAGCACTGAAATGCAGTTTATAATGAGCGCAAATGGGTGAAAAAGGTGACGGTGGTGTGTTTATGAGTGTGATGAGCAAGTGAGGAGTAAAAAGGGGGACAAAACAGAAAAGCAAAATTAGTAAAAGCGCACAGAAAGTGGAAGCTGTAGTTAAACTGCAATGGGTTAAAAAGATCAAAGCCAGGAGGAACCTAGAAATGGAATTGTAATAGTTTCGGACAACACAACAAATTTAACTACATTATGTAATGAAATCCATGTAACTAGTTCCTGGCTCTAAAACAGTTTGATTCCATTTCTCGGTTTCACATGCATGCATTTTTGTCTTCTGTCACATCTTTAGATCAGCTCTTTCAGACACAAAAGTGAAAAAGAGAGGACCACCCTTACTTAGCCAATCTCGGCCCAAGCGTCAAATAGAACCTTTATAAGGCTCATGTAAAAACATGCTTTCTAAGACAGCATGCTGTCTGATTTGCTCTATTCAGTTGGGACAAACGTGTTATTAATGAAGAAATAAAAGTTTGAGTACAGCTTAAATAACCATCCCAATGATATATACAGAGCAGTAAAAAGGAGGGCATTTATTTTTTGTGCCACTTATTTTCAATGTGCATGCTTCCAGATTTTCATTAGTTAAGGTTTTCTCTGTTAAGCTGTAACAGAGATTTTCCCTGCCCACAGTTTGTCAGTAAATGTGAGGTTCTGATCTTTACAACGTATATGAACTTGTTTTCATGATCCCAAAGACTGTGTGTTAGCAAGGCAGCTTGCCACACAATAATAATAATAATAATATTAACACAAATTGGCATTTAGCCATCTTTTTGGCCACAAAAGTGAAGGGTTAGTGACAGGTTTATACCAGGCATGTCCAAAGTTTGTAAACGATTACATTGAATATTCAGTATTTCTCAAACTCAAAAATGTTTTAGCAAATTATACCAATGTGTGTGGTATCACATGTTAGTTATGGAAAATTATGGCCAAGTGATCGATTTTGCCAAATACACCTTGCAAACCATTTCCCCATTCTTTACCTTTGTGTCAGGCCGGACTGTCGCTGCCTCCGAGGCCTCGGTGGTCTGGACTTTGGTCTGGACCTGGTCTTCCTGCTCGGACCGCTCTTCGTCCTTCTCTGAGGTTACTGTGGTGATGATACTGTCGCCCTTAACTACAACTCCAGCACTGCCATCTTTCATCAGAGATTCGTGATTCTCTGAGATGGGAGCTGTGAGGCACAAAAATACATATTTGGATTAACAAACAAAGTTGATCAGCTATAATCTGCGACACAGCCGGATCATTATGACGTATTGTGAGCATTTCAAATCTCAATATTGATAAGAGTTGAAAAAACTCTTGCAGCGGTCTCACCTCCGTCCAGGCTGCGGGACATGTTGTATCTCTTGCTGGAGGATCTCTCAAAGAGCGGAGCAGGTCTGATGATCTGAGAACTGGCTCGTCTCGTCTGCGCCTGGGTCCTGCCGCTGTAGCGGAACTTTGAGCCCAGACTCATGAACTTCTTTGGAGGAGCTTCAGGAGACACCAGTCTGTGATGGAAAGGAAAATCTGTTAACTGGGATGTTGATGCAATTTGTCCATCTTTAGGATTACCGTACGATTGATCTACCCTAACTCTCATGGACAGAGCAATTTAAACCTGAAGATTAGAGAAAATGGGTGGAGTCTGGTGTGCTCCTGCTCAGGTTGTGACCAAAACCTGCAGCCACCCCTGCCCTTTGAGGACTGGTTTGACACCCCTGCTTTACACCCTCATGAAATAAAGCTGGGGTACCCAACTTTCAAACCAGAAATAAAATAAAATGGTTCCTCACCCTCAAAACTGCTATGACTAGTTTCCATATGCATGTAATTTAGACCTCTGTCACATCTGTCAAATTGTGACAAAGTATTCAATGTAGGAAATGCTTTCTAATACGATTAAGACAGCATGTTGACTCTTAATCGTGTTGCGGTTTACAATTTCATGACCAAAGCAAACATTCTATTTAACAATTAAAACTACGTACATGTATTTTATGTGATCGTACCACTGTCCTGTGTGTACACTGCAACACTGACATTTGTCCACTGTGGGGAATTTTTTTTGTTTTTTGTTTTATCAACTTATTTTGAATTCTATCGTGCAGAGCCCTTCTACGTATATTTTTTCTGCATTTTATATGGTTTTTGCCATTTATTTATTTTTACCTGAAGAATGTATGATGCTCCACGCAGACTTTCCATAGTCTCTTAGCTGCTCTGTGATTTGGGAGCTTGAATCCGATGGTGCTTTCGAACTGCTCAAACTGAAAACAAAATCAACATGTCAGCTTTTAGAAGGAAAAAAAGCAATTAGCATCAATAAAATCCACAAAGTATAATTGTATCTAACTTTTATCACTGTGAAATTGCACAAGTAAATCTAGTAGGCAGCCAGTTCTAGTTGTGTACTCATATATATATATATTTATTAGGGCTGTCAATGTTAATTACATCTTAAAAATTAATGGTGAAATTATGCCATATTTTTCTGTAAATGGTTGTTTGAATGGAAAGATAAATTACACCATAGTGTACCATATGTTTATTATAACAGCAATAAATCCACATGAAAATGGCATTAACATTATTAAAATACACAGTATTTTTTCAGCACGACTTATTCTGCTTCAGCTAAAGCCTCATCTTTCTTCTCTTTGTCTCATAAAATCTGTGGATCCTATTCATTATTGTGCCTCTTGTTCAAAAATTTTTTTGTTGCACTAATATGTATACATTTAATAAATATGATATCCCCACTCCCGCGTTCTGTTGTGTCCTTGGGAAAGTCTTCTCACTTCTAGGCAACTATAATTTAAGTTGTATGTATTGTGATTAAGTTAATGGTGAGAATAAAAAAAAAAGACATGTTTTGATTAGATACATTTCCAAGAGATTCAATACAATTCAAATCAACAGTTCAATATTTAGACTGAACCATATAAGGATTAACCAAAAACAATTTCATAATATAAGTACAAGGATGATTGAGAGCGCTTAACCACCGATTTTGAAAGACCAAAATAGTGAGCATGAGACGTGTGTCGATTAATATCACCTGTGACCACTTGACACTAATTGGGTCTTCATCAGGTCAAATGGCTGTCCCTATAGGCAGAAGGGATCTTTGTCTTAAAATCCAAGTGCCTCAAACCATTTCCTCTTTGTTCTTCCTATTATTTTGCACAGATCTTCGAAGAAGACCTTACATTTGCTGTTTTTGATCCCTGTTTACACTCGTTCGTCATGCAATCTAGGAACCCTGAGCAAGTTATAACGTCTAGCCTTATTCTCTGCGCATCTAAACTTTAAATGTTGCTAATCTACAGTCCACAAAGGCCACCTGCGAAATGGCCTCATGGGCATACGTTACCTCTCCTGGTCTGATTTTGATGTAGAAGTTGTTCCTCTTGTAGGAGATTTTGAGGATCTTGGGCCACGCAAAACGGTTGATTCTCAGTCTGTCTCTGTAGATGAGGAGGCCACTGGCGCACACTCCCAACATGATCTCCACGCCTTCAGAGTCCTAAAGACAAATCCCAAGACACATCGATAACACACATTGATCCTAATTTATCTACCGTTTTGAAATAAATATTGTGATTGCATTTGAAAATTTAGAACACTCACATCTAAATAAATGCACAAAGCATTTCAGAACTTATAAATAATTGTGTTTGTTTTTGATCAAAAAACGTCATGATGTTTCTGTGCATTCCATTCACTAAATAGTTGCTAGAATCTTTTGGATACAATTTTGATTCATCTTTAAGCCTGAATTAATTTTTTTCATAATTATTATTATATTTTATCCAGGAACCATTCCTTCCTGTTCTAAGATATGGCATTGAACACAATGATCTAACAGTTGACCCAAACTAGCACCACATTGCTAAAATTTGAAAAGGAGAGGATCACCCTCTCAGCGAATCAGCTCTCAGGCCAGATTGTCAAATTGTGACTGAAGATAAAGACACGTTATGGTCTGATTGGTTCACAAGGACTCTCTGTTGGGACAACTTGATTTTTTCATTACAATAACACATGTGTGTCCCAACAGAAAGTGTTCTAATATTCTCAAACTAAATAGAGATGATAGATTTTTTAAGACTAAGCCCTGGAAGTCAATATTGGACGCTTTGGGCTGAGAGCTGATTGGCTGAGTGAGGATGGTTCTCTCTTTTTCAGGTTTCTGTCTGAAAAAGCTTATTTAAAAAGGTATGACAGAGGCCCAAATGTATGCATAATACCTTAGGTTTGTAGAACCAAACTGTACTAAGTGTTAGAAAAGTTTCCAAAAATAAAATATAATTTTCTATTTAATGTAACTGAGAACAATAAATTCCATTGCATTTTAATATTCTCGTTAAACTATGATGAGAGTACTAATTATCAATACAACAAAGGAAAAACTGTTTTCCTTCATTATTTGTATTTCACCTAGAGGTTTCAATGTCCTAAAACCAATTATTTAATACATTTTTGAGAGTGAATCCAAATGAATTAGGTGATTTTTAAGATCTCAATGTGAACAAGCAGGTGTAGGACTCAGCCAAGTAATACACATCAACAAACTCCTAATACTATCATTATTATTAATTTACTTAATCATTATGGGATACACCAGAAGAGCCAGCGCACAGCAGTCAAACTATTTGATATGAAAGTGGCAAAGAAGCAGGCGAATGGGAAAATCAGGCTTCTAAACAGTATTTGAAAATGGCAGAGAAAGTATGCTTGTCACTGCAAAATAAATACATCAAATGGATGTTAAATGATGAAATGAAGCAAGTATTTTGTTGACAGTCTACGATCATGCAGCAGAGACATACAGCTCTTACCTCGCCCTCAGATGAAGCCAAGATTTCATAGAGTCGCCCTACCAACTTAGCATTTAACGAGAGGAGACACACAAGAGAATGGGCTTGGGCTACGTTTGGCATCATGTTCTTAAAACAGTGAATACAAATGTTTATTTCAACATTGTAGTATCTGGATATCAGCAGTGGGGCTGTCAGTCTTTAAGATAAGATAAGATAAGATATGCTTTATTTATCTCACAAAGGAGAAATTTACATGTCACATTTGGCATGGGTAGAAACACTCAAGATTGTGCAAAAAGGTAATTTAGTTCAGTGCTTCCCAACCTTTTCTGGATTGTAGGAACTGGATTGTAGGAAGGGCACAGGTATCCCCTTTTAAGCTTAAAGTGATAGTCTAAATGAATTACAAATTTTATGAATTGTATCAAATTGACCACCTGGGCTTAAATGTTTATATATAGTAAGTCATTTTATGAATTATAATATTACGGGTAAGTGAGTGTGTTCACAGTTAAGTGTCAATTGAAGTATCTCGACTTTAAAAGGTTATAACTTAAAAACTAAAATTACTATCATAGATTGTAAAAAAGATTTCAAACACAGACACATCAAAGAGATAGTGTGGATAAAATCAAAAGGAAAGATTGTCAAATATATTTTTGGTGACATTTTAAACAACAAAATCAGCCTCTTTTTTGACCATTCTACTGTGACGCCAGTTACATAGAAAATAAAATGTCCTCAGTCTGAAAAAGCGGCAGATGAAATCCCACAATATTTACATGGTTAACACAACATCAGTAAATCACTTGATATGAAAAGGAATCGTTAAAAAATAAAAATTTAAAAATTTTTGTTGTTTAAAATGTCACCAAAAATATATTTGACAATCTTTCCTTTTGATTTTATCCACACTATCTCTTTGATGTGTCTGTGTTTGAAATCTTTTTTACAATCTATGATAGTAATTTTAGTTTTTAAGTTATAACCTTTTAAAGTCGAGATACTTCAATTGACACTTAACTGTGAACACACTCACTTACCCGTAATATTATAATTCATAAAATGACTTACTATATATAAACATTTAAGCCCAGGTGGTCAATTTGATACAATTCATAAAATTTGTAATTCATTTAGACTATCACTTTAAGCTTAAAAGGGGATACCTGTGCCCTTCCTACAATCCAGTTCCTACAATCCAGAAAAGGTTGGGAAGCACTGAACTAAATTACCTTTTTGCACAATCTTGAGTGTTTCTACCCATGCCAAATGTGACATGTAAATTTCTCCTTTGTGAGATAAATAAAGCATATCTTATCTTATCTTATCTTAAAGACTGACAGCCCCACTGCTGATATCCAGATACTACAATGTTGAAATAAACATTTGTATTCACTGTTTTAAGAACATGATGCCAAACGTAGCCCAAGCCCATTCTCTTGTGTGTCTCCTCTCGTTAAATGCTAAGTTGGTAGGGCGACTCTATGAAATCTTGGCTTCATCTGAGGGCGAGGTAAGAGCTGTATGTCTCTGCTGCATGATCGTAGACTGTCAACAAAATACTTGCTTCATTTCATCATTTAACATCCATTTGATGTATTTATTTTGCAGTGACAAGCATACTTTCTCTGCCATTTTCAAATACTGTGTAGAAGCCTGATTTTCCCATTCGCCTGCTTCTTTGCCACTTTCATATCAAATAGTTTGACTGCTGTGCGCTGGCTCTTCTGGTGTATCCCATAATGATTAAGTAAATTAATAATAATGATAGTATTAGGAGTTTGTTGATGTGTATTACTTGGCTGAGTCCTACACCTGCTTGTTCACATTGAGATCTTAAAAATCACCTAATTCATTTGGATTCACTCTCAAAAAATGTATTAAATAATTGGTTTTAGGACATTGAAACCTCTAGGTGAAATACAAATAATGAAGGAAAAACAGTTTTTCCTTTGTTTGTATTGATAATTAGTACTCTCATCATAGTTTAACGAGAATATTAAAATGCAATGGAATTTATTGTTCTCAGTTACATTAAATAGAAAATTATATTTTATTTTTGGAAACTTTTTCTAACACTTAGTACAGTTTGGTTCTACAAACCTAAGGTATTATGCATACATTTGGGCCTCTGTCATACCTTTTTAAATAAGCTTTTTCAGACAGAAACCTGAAAAAGAGAGAACCATCCTCACTCAGCCAATGAGCTCTCAGCCCAAAGCGTCCAATATTGACTTCCAGGGCTTAGTCTTAAAAAATCTATCATCTCTATTTAGTTTGAGAATATTAGAACACTTTCTGTTGGGACACACATGTGTTATTGTAATGAAAAAATCAAGTTGTCCCAACAGAGAATCCTTGTGAACCAATCAGACCATAACGTGTCTTTATCTTCAGTCACAATTTGACAATCTGGCCTGAGAGCTGATTCGCTGAGAGGGTGATCCTCTCCTTTTCAAATTTTAGCAATGTGGTGCTAGTTTGGGTCAACTGTTAGATCATTGTGTTCAATGCCATATCTTAGAACAGGAAGGAATGGTTCCTGGATAAAATATAATAATAATTATGAAAAAAAATTAATTCAGGCTTAAAGATGAATCAAAATTGTATCCAAAAGATTCTAGCAACTATTTAGTGAATGGAATGCACAGATAACATCATGACGTTTTTTGATCAAAAACAAACACAATTATTTATAAGTTCTGAAATGCTTTGTGCATTTATTTTAGATGTGAGTGTTCTAAATTTTCAAATGCAATCACAATATTTATTTCAAAACGGTAGATAAATTAGGATCAATGTGTGTTATCGATGTGTCTTGGGATTTGTCTTTAGGACTCTGAAGGCGTGGAGATCATGTTGGGAGTGTGCGCCAGTGGCCTCCTCATCTACAGAGACAGACTGAGAATCAACCGTTTTGCGTGGCCCAAGATCCTCAAAATCTCCTACAAGAGGAACAACTTCTACATCAAAATCAGACCAGGAGATGGTAAACGTATGCCCATGAGGCCATTTCGCAGGTGGCCTTTGTGGACTGTAGATTAGCAACATTTAAAGTTTAGATGCGCAGAGAATAAGGCTAGACGTTATAACTTGCTCAGGGTTCCTAGATTGCATGACGAACGAGTGTAAACAGGGATCAAAAACAGCAAATGTAAGGTCTTCTTCGAAGATCTGTGCAAAATAATAGGAAGAACAAAGAGGAAATGGTTTGAGGCACTTGGATTTTAAGACAAAGATCCCTTCTGCCTATAGGGACAGCCATTTGACCTGATGAAGACCCAATTAGTGTCAAGTGGTCACAGGTGATATTAATACGACCACACGTCTCATGCTCACTATTTTGGTCTTTCAAAATCGGTGGTTAAGCGCTCTCAATCATCCTTGTACTTATATTATGAAATTGTTTTTGGTTAATCCTTATATGGTTCAGTCTAAATATTGAACTGTTGATTTGAATTGTATTGAATCTCTTGGAAATGTATCTAATCAAAACATGATTTTTTTTTTTATTCCTCACCATTAACTTAATCACAATACATACAACTTAAATTATAGTTGCCTAGATATATATATATATATATGAGTACACAAGTAGAACTGGCTGCCTACTAGATTCACTTGTGCAATTTCACAGTGATAAAAGTTAGATACAATTATACTTTGTGGATTTTATTGACGCTAATTGCTTTTTTTCCTTCTAAAAGCTGACATGTTGATTTGTTTTCAGTTTGAGCAGTTCGAAAGCACCATCGGATTCAAGCTCCCAAATCACAGAGCAGCTAAGAGACTATGGAAAGTCTGCGTGGAGCATCATACATTCTTCAGGTAAAAATAAATAAATGGCAAAAACCATATAAAATGCAGAAAAAATATACGTAGAAGGGCTCTGCACGATAGAATTCAAAATAAGTTGATAATATGAAAAAAAAAAAATTGTCCCCACAGTGGACAAATGTCAGTGTTGCAGTGCACACACAGGACAGTGGTACGATCACATAAAATACATATACGTAGTTTTAATTCTTAAATAGAATGTTTGCTTTGGTCATGAAATTGTAAACCGCAACACGATTAAGAGTCAACATACGTCTTAATCGTATTAGAAAGCATTTCCTACATTGAATACTTTGTCACAATTTGACAGATGTGACAGAGGTCTAAATTACATGCATATGGAAACTAGTCATAGCAGTTTTGAGGGTGAGGAACCATTTTATTTTATTTCTGGTTTGAAAGTTGGGTACCCCAGCTTTTTTTCATGAGGGTGTAAAGCAGGGGTGTCAAACCAGTCCTCAAAGGGCAGGGGTGGCTGCAGGTTTTGGTCACAACCTGAGCAGGAGCACACCAGACTCCACCCATTTTCTCTAATCTTCAGGTTTAAATTGCTCTGACCATGAGCGTTAGGGTAGATCAATCGTACGGTAATCCTAAAGATGGACAAATTGCATCAACATCCCAGTTAACAGATTTTCCTTTCCATCACAGACTGGTGTCTCCTGAAGCTCCTCCAAAGAAGTTCATGAGTCTGGGCTCAAAGTTCCGCTACAGCGGCAGGACCCAGGCGCAGACGAGACGAGCCAGTTCTCAGATCATCAGACCTGCTCCGCTCTTTGAGAGATCCTCCAGCAAGAGATACAACATGTCCCGCAGCCTGGACGGAGGTGAGACCGCTGCAAGAGTTTTTTCAACTCTTATCAATATTGAGATTTGAAATGCTCACAATACGTCATAATGATCCGGCTGTGTCGCAGATTATAGCTGATCAACTTTGTTTGTTAATCCAAATATGTATTTTTGTGCCTCACAGCTCCCATCTCAGAGAATCACGAATCTCTGATGAAAGATGGCAGTGCTGGAGTTGTAGTTAAGGGCGACAGTATCATCACCACAGTAACCTCAGAGAAGGACGAAGAGCGGTCCGAGCAGGAAGACCAGGTCCAGACCAAAGTCCAGACCACCGAGGCCTCAGAGGCAGCGACAGTCCGGCCTGACACAAAGGTAAAGAATGGGGAAATGGTTTGCAAGGTGTATTTGGCAAAATCGATCACTAGGCCATAATTTTCCATAACTAACATGTGATACCACACACATTGGTATAATTTGCTAAAACATTTTTGAGTTTGAGAAATACTGAATATTCAATGTAATTGTTTACAAACTTTGGACATGCCTGGTATAAACCTTTCACTAACCCTTCACTTTTGTGGCCAAAAAGATGGCTAAATGCCAATTTGTGTTAATATTATTATTATTATTGTGTGGCAAGCTGCCTTGCTAACACACAGTCTTTGGGATCATGAAAACAAGTTCATATACGTTGTAAAGATCAGAACCTTACATTTACTGACAAACTTTGGGCAGGGAAAATCTCTGTTACAGCTTAACAGAGAAAACCTTAACTAATGAAAATCTGGAAGCATGCACATTGAAAATAAGTGGCACAAAAAATAAATGGTCTCCTTTTTACTGCTCTGTATATATCATTGGGATGGTTATTTAAGCTGTACTCAAACTTTTATTTCTTCATTAATAACACGTTTGTCCCAACTGAATAGAGCAAATCAGACCGCAGCATGCTGTATTAGAAAGCATGTTTTTACATGAGCCTTGTAAAGTTTCTATTTGACGCTTGGGCCGAGATTGGCTAAGTAAGGGTGGTCCTCTCTTTTTCACTTTTGTGTCTGAAAGAGCTGATCTAAAGATGTGACAGAAGACAAAAATGCATGCATGTGAAACCGAGAAATGGAATCAAACTGTTTTAGAGCCAGGAACTAGTTACATGGATTTCATTACATAATGTAGTTAAATTTGTTGTGTTGTCCGAAACTATTACAATTCCATTTCTAGGTTCCTCCTGGCTTTGATCTTTTTAACCCATTGCAGTTTAACTACAGCTTCCACTTTCTGTGCGCTTTTACTAATTTTGCTTTTCTGTTTTGTCCCCCTTTTTACTCCTCACTTGCTCATCACACTCATAAACACACCACCATCACCTTTTTCACCCATTTGCGCTCATTATAAACTGCATTTCAGTGCTCTTCCCATCAGTACAATGTGCTCTCCCTCCCCTCGTCCCCAGTTGTATCCAACAAACTCCGCCGCCGACGCAGGGAACCCGCAAGAAAGCGTGCGTCGTCCGTGAGCCCGGCCAAAACCGGGGAAAGCCGCAAGCGTAGGCAAGCCAAAGCCGACCGCAAAGCTGCGCTGCTGCAAGAACAAGCGCTTTTGCTTTCCGCGCGTAAACAGCGTCTCGAATCTAAGCCACGGGGAGGTACCCTCTTTTCGTTCTCCCTGCACCTGCCCGACATGTCCTCCATTTTGGACGAAGACGGCTACCTCACATTCCCGGATTTGACGGAGATGCGTTTCTTGCCGGAGTGCGCGCAGAACTTCGTGCCCATCAAGTCGCCATCTCTCATCCCGTGCTTTCTCTTCATCTTCTTCTTCCTGCTGTCCACCTCTTTCTCTGTGCCATACGCCCTCACGCTGTCATTCCCCTTGGCGCTGTGTCTTTGCTACCTGGAGCCCAAAGCTGCCACCCTGACCACCTGCATAGCTCAGGAATACACTGACCATGACAGTTCAGAGGAAGAGGAGGTGTGTGCCTGTGCACTTCATGTTATCTGTGGCATATGTAACTGCGCAGGTGGGGATCGGTCATATGTTTTCCTCAATGGAGATGTTGGCGTTTGGTGTTGCTGGATAGCATAATAATACATCGTACAATGACATAGCGCTTTTTGGACTCTCAAAGACACTCAGCCTTGTAGAATGAACTACAGAAAAAATCTTGGGTGACATTTGGATGAAGCCATTTTTCTTAAAGATTTCCTGATTGGGTTTATTCTCATTACATCAAATAAAAAAAAAACAATTACATTCTGGCTTCATACCAGCTGGTTTTCCAGTTTTACGCACAAAAATGTGTTGTGTTAGTGTCCTTTATTTATAGAGGGCATATTACAGATTATTGACTCAGAAGATACATGAAAACATTAATAAAATATAAAAAATACAATAATAATAATAATGCAATACATTCAGACAGCATACTTTTTTTTTTTTTTCTCAAGTTTCAAAATGACTTATGTGGACATGGAGTAGTTTATTGTGGGATAATCCAGACAATACAAGACGTCTCCGTGACGACAATCAGATGACAGATCCTGCAACTGCAAAGTTACATGCCACATCTTTCTTTTCACTCTCAAACATTGTCCCGTGTGTGTTTGTGGGGGACGGGAGCTTGTCCGGTGAACTCTCCCCCTTTCAGAACCTCATCTCCAGTCATGTCATCAACACAGCTCAGTGCAAGTCTGATCACTTCATTTGAACTGACAGGGTTACCCACAAACCACCAGCCTGCCCATGTCACAGACTGCTACCATAACAAAACTAGCTGCTTCTTTGCATTTTATAATGAGCAACATATTCAGGACAGGAATGTGACTTATGCTTCTGAAATTACATTTTCACCATTACAGGTGAAACAAACAAAAAATAAAATTTTTCCCAAGTTTATTTATTTATGTAATATTGTGAAACCAATATATGACATAATTTGCATTATATACAAAGTGACTGGGACTTTCCTGGTTAAATAAAGGTCAGTAGATAATATGCCAAGCCTTTGTTAACATTTTGATGATTACTGCTTGCAGTCCATTATAGATCGATAGATACTTTATTGATTCCCGTAGGAGAAATTCAGGTGTCCAGTAGCCGCAGAAACACATAATTACATCATTCTAAAAGTACCTAACAATAGTAATACAATTGAGCAGCACTTTAGGTCAGTGCAGCAGAGTTGAAGGCATTGTAATTTTTTGATATTTTTTATTTGGGTTTTACGCACTGTGAGCCAATTCTGTTCTATATTGGTTTCACATTGTAAGTTGAATTACAGAAGATTTTACTCTGAAAGCTGTTGAAATTACTACAATATCAAGTTTTTAAGTGCACTTGGGATTAATTTCTTCACCCAAAGTGTACCAGCTGCCTTGCTAAGGGTATAGAATACATGTTCTTACTATTTGACGTCACTGTTTAAAGCCTCACATTCTAGAAATTAGCTTACTACATGGAAAGCCAACCCATTTATTTTGTATTACTAAAAAAAATATACTGGAATCATAACTTTGTCCAAGCCATTTCAATGCTGTCATGGCATCTCTCAACATGGCATTCTCACAAAATGTCCCACTTCACCAGTTCACCAGTGCATGAAGCTTCTCATTGTTCATGATTCAGCCTCTCTGTGTTACTCAAAGCAGCACAGAATCCAATAAATGATTTAGTTTAGACATCAGCTGAAGCCGCCTCCTCGCGTTCTGCTTCTAAATTATGAAACCAATTTTATAATTTACATCATTATGCGAGAAGTTACGTAATGCAGAGAGGTTGTTGGTTGAATCCATGTCTTCACATGCATGAAGAGAAGGAAGAGGGCCTGAAAGTCAAATGCGACCAAAAAAACATAACATTTGTCTACTATCATCTACTATCAATAACTTTTCTTTTGTGGGTGAATACAGTTCAATCCCTGCTAATCCTGCACTTATTTCAAAACATTCCTCGCCCAATTAAAAAAAGAACCTCTGAGTCTGTTGCTCTGCTTACTTTTTCATTTGCCTTCCCTTTTCTTCTGCTGGTGTCCAGTTTATCTGTCTCACTATATGTAACCATGTGTGATTACATGCTCATTCTCTCCATTGGTGTTCTTATGTCATCTCATGGTGAGTAATGTGTTAAAAGTGGGCTTTTCTCGTTTTTTACGCTCTCCGGAACTTGTTTGGTCTGTAGACTGACAGTGAACAGACTGACTTTGCGTTTGATGGAGATATGACCCCCACCGAGGTTTGTACATGGAAGGAATCCCTCTTGTTAAAGCATGGAGCATTTTTTTCTTTTCATTCCCATGTGCAGAAGACTACAAGAACAACATCAAACATATGTTCTGTTGGGTCTTCCAGCCCAGATTTCACAGTTTCACACCCTTTTTAGTGTGTTACAATAATATAGTATATAGACAGAGTGTGGCCACTGTTTTTCCATTGCGACCACTCCTTTTTAAATAGTGAAATGTCTGTTTGAAATATTGCCAAAATTATAATTATTTTGACTATTAATTGATGCAGCTACCATGCCAATCTCTGTTCTGTATAAAATATTATGGAGTATGTCTCTTTCTAGACTATTGTACATGTATCCACTTATTTATATATTTTTTCATTTGTATACAAATGTCTTCATGTTATTGACGTTTAGTGAGTAACGACATTTGATGGAATAATATGTAATAATGAGATCTAGTTGCTTCTTAATATATTAGGCATACACCAACTGGATGTATAAGAGGACATTTTAATGACATTAAACAGTTACAAAATACATTCAGACAGTAGATAACGAGTCACACATACCCACATGGAGAGAGGCCTTCTGCCCACTGTCAGAGACACAGTTCATGGGGGAGGCACAGTGGTGCCCCCCAATGAAGAGGGACCATTGAGAGCAGGACATCAAGACAATTCATCCCAACAATATTTGAAAGTGTAAATTGCCAGCCTTTGACATTTTCATCAAATTGTGCTTGTCTGTCTTGTTCATCTATATTGGTCATCTGTGTCCTAACTCAATTGGTAAAAAGGGTTTCTTTGGTCCATTTGTTGTACAATGTATTGCATAATAATTGGCATTACCTTTCTTATAACGTGACTCTTTTACGCTGCAGATAAAGGTTGCTTTTACACTTGATCTGGTTCACTTTAACTAGACCAAGTCTGGTTCACTTGAAACAAAATGCTTCACCTGCTTTAAAACATGTGTCCACTTGTCACTTCGGTCTCATTTTTACATGTTTGGTGGTTTTACATCCACAAATCACGGAATTGGTCCCGTTTGAGTTGACCAGAGCAAGTGTGAACGGCGCCTAGAGTCTTCCTCCTCACTGGTCTCATACCATACACTTGCTACTGTCTCTTCTTTCACTTCCCTTCTGACCTAAACCATTTTTTCTCTCTCCTGCTGCAGTCGGAGGTGGATGAGGACTCTGAGATGCGTACACAGGTAGAGGCTTCAGCTTTGTACTAAGCAGCGGTTCTCAACTGGACTAAAGATGGGACCGCATTTCAAAATACATGATCCTCTGAACCTCATGATCCTATGTTTGTGGAAAATCAAATCCCGGCATACAATGTGTCCTGGATTCTGAAGCCCCTTTGTCCCTAATAGGGATAAAGTATTTCCCATGGATCTAAACTTATTCACTTACTGCTTCAAAAGTTTAGTGGTAGTTGAAATTGTCCTCTAACTGTTTGAGAACCGCTGCCGTGTCCTTGCTTCACCGCTCTTCTCAGACACATACAGCTGCTAAATATGTTTTATTTATTTTCTTGCAAATTTGCACTGGCTTTGCTTTTTCTCCTGCTCACATCCCAAAATAAGCCCCGTCAATTCTTCTCTCATTTATTTCACTGTTTTTGCTGCTGTTGCTTTCATGCTGGTGACTTCTTAATATATTTGGGTTTTTTCCATGCTCGTATTTATGGTTACTTTGCCCTTTTCCTCATATGTCGGGCCTTGTTGTTGAAACTACTATTTCATAATTTTGTAATGGTACTATATAGGGCTGCACAATATTGGAAATTGGAGCGATATTTGATGATTGCGATAACGATATTATTGCGATATTTTTTTCTTTCGCCTAAAACTGCAATCTGCATTGAAACGCAAGAGACAAATAACAAAAACATGAATTACATTCAAATGCATATATTATATACTTTTTGTTTGTTTGTTGTATTTGTTGAATGTCGATGTGTCTGTCTGTTTTGTTGTTTTTTTTTATTTTTACCGAGCATTTTTCAATATGGATATTCCACGGACCAATATCGCGATACCAATATTTTTTTGATATATTGTGCAGCCTAGTACTATATATATTTAATTTATTAAAGTACGGAGATAAATATCTTTGATATAAAATTGAACACTCAATTTGTACAAAGAGACAGGTATCGTCTTTTGTACCTTTCTTATATTCCTACTTATGCAAGTTTTGGCCCTTGGTATTTTGTGACTCACATCTGCTGGAAGTCCGATTGGAAGAAATCTTTTATTTATTTTTTAGCCTAAAATTGTTTCTCCATTCCTTACATACTTTTTTTCTCCCGCCCACTGCATACACATAAGTTCTGTTACTCGGCTCTTGGAGCGTTTCCCTTTGGCCCTGTTTAACCGGTACCAGGTACTTTTTAGTACCAGCTTGGCCGTGATTCTAAAGCCACGAACACATACTGCTTTTATATAAAGTCTCTGGAAGGTCTCTGGACACAGACGCTGCAGAGCTGCATTATCAAAGAACTTTACACAAATAGCCGCTAGCTTAACTCCTTTAGCATCCAAGTCCGCTTCCGCCACTTCCGTCGGGCGCCACCGCAGCCCAGGACTTCTGGTCTGAATACCCCTGCGTCTGAAAATTAGAGGATGTGCGTCTGGTGCGCGAGGCGTCAGCGTTCCAGCGTCGGCGGTCTTAACGCGCCTTAAGGGGCAAGCAAGGAGTATTTAAGGTCTGCCTCCATACAGTGGAGGCTTGGTTAGGCAGAAGGTAACATTGACTGCCGCAGCGCAGGTGAGAGTCAGGAAAAATACTTCTTATACAAGGCGTGTATATTTCAATTTTACATATCCCTTCCTTCTCCATGGGCGACAGTGGCTCAGTTGGTAGAACGTTGGCCTTTGACCCTGAAGGTTGTGGGTTCTTTTTCAATCCAGTCACGAGTTTGTGAAAAAGAACCCTTCACAATTCTAAATAGTTAAGTGTTTTTTTTGTAAAACAGATGTTGGTTGCACACACCCAAGACCATGTTCTAATCACCTCGCTGTTATTGTTTAAATCTTTTTCACAGTACAGTTTCATAAGACGCGTAAAAGGAGAGAACGTTTTTATCAGACACAGCAATCTGATGCTGGAGGTTGGTGAGCCATGAAGCCGCATGGACTGTTTTTCTCTGCTGAAACTTAATTCGAATAATCCACCAGTCTGATCCGATGAACTGCTTTTAACATAACTGAAGTTTGCAGTGATTTCTTGGATTTTGTGCAGTAAATGTTAGTGGAAATTGAGACCGCATGTTGAACAAAAATCCCCTTTTTTAAACTGATGTGTGTTTGTATAAATGCCATTCAATATTCTTATATAATTGTGCAGCTCTAGTGAAGAAACTACGTTTTTTTTAAATACCACATCTACTTTAAAAAGCAACTAACACACTGCATGGAGAAAGGGCCTTTATTGTGTGACTGAGGCCAATTTTACAACCAAAATTTGTCAATGCTTTCTCCACTTACATCTGAGTCATAACTGCATCACAAATTTTGACATTGACTACATTGACTACATACTATGACCCTTGAAGTTCTTAAGATAATTGTTTTTTGCTGGCCAGATAAGTTTTTACCATTTCAAGCAATCATTTTAAGTGCAGAAGGAAACTTTCCTGATTTCTGTCGGGTTGATGCTCTCCTAGAATGGTTCACAGTATTCCATTCATTATGGCTCGATATCTTGCATACATCTTCAATGTATAATTGAGTAAAATTAGCCATTGTAAATGTAAAATTACCATCAAAACTACATTTGGGATCTAGACTATCCAGTTATTTTATTAATTTGTCATTAAGGTAAAAACAATTGAATATACAAACATGAATAGTTGCTCAGTTGCTGGGCCATATAACAAAATCTGAAAAGTTACGTCTTACACTTTTTTAGACCTAATGCTGAAGTCGTTTGTTTTTCAGGAAAAGGTCACAAAAGTATATGTAAAACCCAAAGCTTGCAGACCCTTTCTTTAAAATCTGCGCACGGCCTGTTTTTGTTGCATTTTGATGCATTTTGGGTATTCACTATGCATCAGTGTTCAAAAAGCATGCGCTCCCTTCAACATTGGACAGGTTTAAAGATTCCTTCATTGCGTTGGGTCACTTCAGGACAGCTCCACCCCCGCAGAGGTGGTGAAGCATCAGACCAACATCAGCGAACTGAAAAGATCCTTCCTGGAGACGGGCGCCACCTCCCCGGGCCTGAGCGAGTGGGACCGACGCCTCACGTCCTCCCCCAAACCTGAAGAAGCGCCCATGATAGAACCACTGGAGCTGCAGGATGTAAGAGGAGCATGGGGGAGAGAGAGGATGGTTTTGACATGCAAGAAGTGGTTGATGTAGCACACAGATGGCTGAACAACTTGTCTATAGTTTTTTTTAGAGAGATTCAAGTATGTTTGAGTCATTTATTTTCTCATTGGAGGTCGACCGATGTGTTTTTCCAGGACCGATACACAATTTTTTGACCATATTAATTTGCTGTAAAGGTAAATATTATGGTGTCAATTTTGAATTATACAAATGCTAATGTACATGGGTTTATTGGTAGGGGAAACCTAAACAGATGCTGGGAGAACATGCAGCACTTAAATGTCTGAAATGTATGATTTTTAACTAAAGAAAAATAGTAGCTCCCACGGTTTATATGGAAGTGATGTACCGCAGGAGAGAAAGAGCTGCTTTATTATATTATTTTTGACAGAAAGAAACCAAACTAAACTGATTAGACTTCTCTTTTGTTTCGACACATTCGGTAAGTGTGACTGTGGTACATGGGTGCTGTTGTTAAGTGGACTTATACATGATTGTGTTGTATCATTGTGATTTGGCGGTGTTGTGTGGTCATTTTGGTTTTAAAGGGGCCAGAAATCTACACCAGATACTACTGAGACAAGGCCAGCAGATGTATTTAAGAGCATGGGGAAAAGCCTTGCCTGTTTCAGAAATGTTGAACCGCATGGACCAACTCTTGTTAGACTGGTCTTTTATACATCGTTTCATTTTTGGGGGTTTATGCACTCAATATTTTATAGAAAGGCATCTTTCTGCTAAATGTACAATAATGAGCCATGGGTGTCATTGATTATCACTATATTGCATGTTGAGTTTCATATATTTTAACTTGAAAGAATGCCGTGCATTGAAAAGTAGTGTTATGAAAATCTGCAGGATTCTCCTCGAGCTCCATCCGTCCAGTCCATATTAGCTTAGACTACTTAACATGTTGGTGGTACCATGCATGCTGATAACTGATCTGGATGTTCTTGTGTTGTTCATCAATATAGTTGACCGTTTGACTTCAATAATGTCTGTGTGCTTCGAACACATGCTGCTTTTACAAACTTACAATTATTGATAATAATTGTATGATTGTTTTTTATCAGACTCCGGATGAGCTGACAAAGGAGGAACCCAAAACCATTGAGGTAAATACACAGCTCTTATTATTAATGTATTGTTTTGCATTGCATTCAGTTGGTTTGTAATAGAAGTGAGAGTACATGTGCTTATTCTGGTGCCTGCACATAGGTAACGTATAACTAATTGGGTTTAAGCAGAAATGGACCCATTTCAAATCAATCCAGTTCTGACTTTTTAAATGTTGAAATGAACTATTTAATCACTTAAAACAAGAATTATAACTTTTCGGAACTTTTTTGGAAAGAAAATTGTATGGCCACAATCTGAAACCGTATTGCATATTGTTACCTAGGGGTTAAAAACAAAATAAAAAAAATAATAACTGCAATATAAATCTTTTATTTATTTTTTTTCCCCGCAATACAATATCAATTTCTCAGTCACGAGTATCAATACGTAAGTCCCTTTCAAACCCCCGTGTTTAACCTGCCCCGTACTGCACAGCGCCAGAGTCTGTCTCTTCCCTTGGATCTATAATATCTGGATAGGGTAAAACTAGCTTATAGCTGTCCCACAAATGGGCACAAGGGGCACCCGCGTTACTGCATACTAAATTCCATCTGGACCTCAGCTGACAGAGAACCTACAGCTTTCATAATGGTCACATTTTGTGGGCATTTTAGTGTCCCTTGTCATCCTGAACTTTTTTCTTGTTAAATCCTTCGGTTTTTTATAAATCTACAATTTAATGCAACAAACTCTGCTCGTTTGGCTACCGCTCTAACTCCTCTCTGATAAGCAGCAGCTGATTGGTCAGAGCGGAGTTAGAGCGGTAAGCCCCTCTGTGCACGTGTATTAGATTTGGCGCAATGCATCATGGGAGCTCGTCCACTGTGAGTTTTTGGGCTAAGACCAGACTTTTTGATATTTTTTTCCACACTGCTAAATAAATGTGCACTTTTTAACGCACCATTGTTATTTTCATCGCATTATGTATTTACTCTTCATAGGTTTGTATCTATCATGGCTAAATATTGTATCGTGAACTGAATATTGTGTAGCATATCGTTTTGTGAAATGTATCGCTACACCCCTATTGTTACCACAGATAGATATAGGTGAATAAAGAAAAATGACACAGAATACACGCTATTTTATACAATGTTAAAGTCCATTATAATTAGCATGGGAAGGTTCATTCTATCGTCTTTGTAGATTAAGCTTTTTGTTGCTATCATCCGTTGTCTGATGTAAAAGAAATGCATAACTAAATCTATTATAATTAGCTTGTACACACAATCTTTGTATCCCTTCTCCCTCCTCAGCAATCTTTTAGACCTTAAAGTTTGTCTTGTCCATGTCTTGTGCTCATGTGTCTTGTTTCTAATATCTTTTATCTTCTGCATTGTCTGCACTGCACTGCTTTTTCAACTTTTTTTCCCCTCAAGTTTCTCAAAACCCAGTGTGTTCTAGGCAACAGGTTATCTGGTCAAATGCATCGCAGACAGTTTGGTTACAGAAGGGCAGACTTCCTCCGGCCCGCAGGGCATCAGCCTTTCCACCACGATGGAAGACGACGTATTCCTGGATGGCACGCTGCGGGAGGCCGACTGTAAGACTCCGGATTCCGCGGCTTCAGAAAAGTCCATGGCCCGGCTCAGTCCTGGAGCAGTGCGGCAAGAAGTCTCCCAGGCCATTAGCGACAAACGTGGGATGCTGATAATACTCAAGGATGCAGAGGACAAAAGCTACTCGGAGGGAGATTTGAATGAGAAAAATCAATCAGGAAATGCAATAGAAGAAAATTCCGCAAAAAATGTCAAGCAAGCTACTTTAATCGGTCAAAATGGCAAAATTGGTGTACACGGCTCTAAACTTGAAGCAGAAACTCTCATAAACGACGTTAAAAATATTGAATCTCCAAAGAAAGCGATGGCGTTTTGGATTACCAAGGAAGAAGAGTCTAAAGCAAATTCCAGAGTTCCTGTTTTTGATGCGACGGAGGACGTATTTTCCATGACTTTTGAGGAAACTGCTGTTGCTGTGGTGATGAAGGAAGATGTCGCCTTCACAACCGGAGAAAAAGTTCTTACAATTACCGCAGACAAAGACATGAAGCAGGAAAATGGTCAAACAGAGCAAGAGAATTCAGACGTTGTTACTTTGAGAGACGAGAAGTTGACCAGCGTGGAGCAAATTGCGACGACGACTTTAGCCGTGGTATTGTAAAAGATCATTACAATCCAATAGCAGGATAATAAAATGGCTTACGTCACTTCCACTACCTCCCATTGCCTCCCTGTTGTAACAGCTGAGCGAGTCCAAATGCTGTAAAGGCAATGACATGCATGGCTTATTCAGCATGGGATGTAACAATATTCAAAATTGATACCTTTTTTTGTACTATTCTGGGGCATATCTAAAACCTACTCGAAGTAATCTCCTTTACCTGCACGGTCAAAGCAGTGGAGATTGGATTCTGATCTGTGCCTCGAGTAATATTTGTAATTTTCAACACTTGAGTATGCAGTTTGTTTCACTGACAACTGGGGCTGCACGTCTGGAATCAAAATAGCAATTCGTTAATCACAAAAACTGCAATTACCTCAGTTCTTAAAAAACAAAACAGGGACGAGAGAAAACTCAAATCAAGTCTCTTAATCTGAGTTTTCTTTTGTCCCTTTTTTATTTTGAAGTATAGTGTTTTTTTGCATGTCCTCTTTCCAAATAAGACAATCTCATCTGTTTAAATATTTTGTATTGACATATAGTTTGTGTACAACTCTGGGATGATAAGAATTTAAAGTAAAAAGAAATAAAAGAAAAACTTAATTTTCATATTGTGAAGAGAAAAACATTTCAAACGCAAGTGTCAGTAAAACCTACCCGTGCTCACCCTCCGCTTTCTGATTGGACGATGTCTATTCAAATCCTTGCCATTGGTCGAACTATTCTCCAGAAAGTATTATTGGTCATGGTTTTGCAAAGAGGACGGACTATAAAGTTGCTGACATCACCTTTGATTCAAGGTTTGATGTGTATTTTAAATGTTTGCAATTAATCTTTTTTATTTGTCCTTAAATTAATGGTTCTAATATAAGTTAGAAGTCTAGACATTTACTGAAATGTGTGGGGAAAAGATGTGCATGAGTACCATAAAAAGGACAAGCGTGCTGTTTCATTTTCAGGTTCTGTAATCACTTCATATTGCCGCTTTTACAAATGGAATATCCTTGGTTTTTTTTTTACTCTGATCAAATTCATGACTTTTAAAAAATACAGGGTATCAAAATTTTCTCTGCATCCCTGTGTTGGTCAGAAAATTCCAAAATCGTGCAGCCCTTTCTGGAAACACTGTTTAATGATTAATTTTGCTAATATTGTTACATCCTTAAAATCCACTCTCTTAACACCAGCGTTTAAAGTAAATGCCAGTTTGCAATGCCTCCAAACGGGGTGCTTGTTGTTTTTGATCTGTTCTTCCCTCACCAGCTGGCTCCCTCCTTGGCTGTGGAAGGAAAGAAATCTTATGCTTTTTTGTGGTCACTGCTTCGCTCCAACGATTGCTTTCTTCCTCAGCGCTTTGATCCAGTCACACAAAATAATATTAACGGCTTTGTCCTCCTCCCGTCTCATTTTCAAAATATCCCTGCTGCCTCGTAATAATCTCAGCAAATTTGTATGGTTCTACCGACAACTAATGAGACCACTGAATAACATCACCAAAAACATCTCATGGGGCATAATGGTGTTCCATACAATCTGTAATGTATTGAAAGGAGAAGTAGGTGACTTTGGACAACATGGCTAACACATTTGTAAGCAGTGTATTGCCTGTTTATAATATGAATTTCTAAATGTGTAATGCAGACCTATTCAAAAATGCCAAGCATTCTGAGCCAACAATCAATCAATATATTTATTTCAAAATTGTACAAACACACACTCCCTCACGCATTCAACGCACAGACGAGACAATTTGGAACAAAAACGTCCAAAAAAATAGACTTGCCATAAAATATATAAAAGTTGAAAAGGTCTGCTCTACAGAATATTGAGCATGTAACACAGAACCCCTACATTGCATTATGTCAAAAGGTGTTCATATTAATGTTTTAATGAAGCTGTTTGGCTGACTTGCTTCTCCTTGCTTTGGCCCTCCTCATTTCCCCATCTCAAGCAGTGTGCGGTAATTTGTGAATATTCTAATTGTTCTGCTTTATCTTCCTTCTGTCGCTTTAGTCCACTCTGGGAATCCTCTCTTCTTCAAAGGTGACCTTCCTCATTATGCATCCCTATTATAGTGTGTTGTCTGTCTGTGTCCAGTTCTGCTTTGGTCTGCTCGATAAATTCAGTTCAGACCTATCAGCAATTACATCACACAACTGTATTGCATCATTCTATACAGACACCTGTGTTGACCCGTGTTTAACCTGGGGCTACCTAACTTTCAAACTAGCATCCAAAAACATTTCAAATGATTCAAATCTGTGCATCAAAGTTGAAAGTCATCAGTCAAGCAGACGTTACTTTGCCACTCAGATGTAATTGAATAATGTGATTTTGGTTTCCTCTTTGGCAGACGTCACCGGTTGTAGAAGACAAGACCGAAGTAGCAACAGAGGCAAATCCAGATCAAGCCGAACCCACAAGTCCAACGGTGAATATCCAGGCTTCCAATGCAAAACACGTGCTTAAAGAAATGTCCAACACAGCGTTTATAGCAAAAGATAAGCCGAGCCAGCTGCCTTCTCACCCCTGTGCAAATTCACGTTACCAATTCCCAACGAGAGCCGCTGATTGTGGAAAGCAATGATTTTTTTGTTGGAAATGTGGATGAGGAGGTTTTGACCAATGATAATGATGCTTTAGATTCACAGTGAGCCCCACCAGAAGGAACTATAATGTCCTTACCAGAAAAGCAAGTGAGAAGTCTCATAAAGTTGTTAAAGCAAGTAAACATTTTGAGAAAAGGGTGAAATTTGCAGACGCAGTCACATATTATAATGACGTTGAGGTACATGCAGCGGTTGGAACTTGCGACAATTTAGTCCTAGAGGATCTAGAGCGAAACCCAAGCACTCTTACGAAAAGGAAAAATACCATAGATTAAACAACCGGAACGCTTGAAGTACGGAAACGACGAGCGAGAAGAGTTCAACAAAGATTTAGAAGCAACTAACTTGGAGACTACGGATGAAACAAAGGGCAGAAATCCTGGAGGTTTGCAAAGTGACCTGTCCCACAAGGAAAGCCCCCAAGAGCTATGTGAGGTAACCTTTTCGGAGTCCATGCGTCTCTATCACCTCACCTCCGCTTTTCCCTCTTGACGGCACATCTGCGCTCCATAATCAAAGGGAAATGCAATGGAAAACAAGCACTGACAGATCTTAATTTCACCCATTTTTTCTGGGCAATTTCAAATGCAGCGCAGCGATGGCGTTCTTGATCAAAACCTTGTGATTTTCTCCTTCACTGGAAAAGGGTGTGACTCTAAACGCATGACTGCAGTTTGCTGGAGGCGATCCAGGATTGTAATAGTTTGGTGTCTTGTTCTGCGTTAGTCAATTTCAATAGTGCATCTTTTGTAAAGAAATTGGTACATGGTAAATGTACAATAGTGGTGTCCTCAAGTGGACAAACTTAATTTTGCAACATTTATTACGTGAGGGAAAAGGGAATACCTGAGCTAAATTGGTTCTCTACTCAAAGAATGACACTGCTCTGTCCCTGCAGGGCACTATAGAGGCTACTAGTAAGTAAGTCGGCTTTATTTATATAGCGCCATTCACAGACCAGAGTCACAAAGTGCTTTACAATTTGTTGTTGGGCATTTTTCCTCTCACTCCACACAGAGACGGGATCGGGGTCGCCAGTACAGGCGGCGCATGCCAGACCTATTTGTACTATACAACGTTTGAGGTTACCTAGCTGAAATGTTCCCACTGTTGGAGGAATAAAGGATCTTTCATTGTAATCTAAGTATTGCAGATTTTCAATGTTCGTCTTTTTCCCCTTCTTCCACTTATATTTTCCTTCTTACAGACTGTTGAAAACGGTACGAGCACCAAAGAGATGCCTCCTGTGGTCCACACAGAGACAAAAACCATCACCTACGAGTCTGGGGAGGTAAGACTAAATAGATGAAGTACTGTTGGGTGTACAGTGGCAAGGCAACTCAAAGTGATTAACATAATAAAAATCATGGCATTAAAAAAATCACAGTACCTTTAGGAGTAAAGATGCAATCCTTCAGTTGTATGCACATCTGTTTTTGAACATGGATTTGAACATTGTCAGAGTAGAAGCCCGTGTCACATTTTCAGGAAGACCGACCACAATACTCAGTCACACTGTATATTAAAGAAAAATGGGAGAAAGAGGGTAATCTCTAATTCAGCTGCAAGGACAACTAAACAAAGAGCTATATATATATCTCCATACAAATGGAAAACTGGGTTAAAATCCCTGTTAATGTATGGAAAAGCACATCATCCCCTGTATGGAGAGAGTTTTCATGGAAATGTATGGTACGTTTTTTTAAAACTCCAGTCCAGAGAGGCCCAAGTGCTGATACTTCATGTTGGAGGTTATGTGGAACCAAACGGGCTGGCCATCACCACATATTCTGGAGTTGTTCAAAAATAACCAATTACTGGATGGCTATTAAACAGGGCATTGACACAGTTTTTGGCATTAATGTTCCTTTGAATTTTGAAACTATGTTTTTGGGGATACAACCAGACTGTATAAAAGGGGCGAGTAAAAAATATATGTGGAATGTTTTACTGACAGCAAGCAAAAAAGCTATCACAAAGAAATGGATGACAGACAGAACACCTGTGTTGGGGGACTGGATATCACTTGTTAAAGACATTTTTCATATGGAGAGAATGACTTTTGCACTAAGACTGGATCACGATAGATTTGAGGACTATTGGAAATGTTGGACACATTATACCAACACTTAAGGACACGTGTGATATCCCTTTGCTACTCAATTGTTCTATTGTTTTTGTTCTATTATGTAAAAAAAAAAAAAAGTGTTAACAAATGTACAAATTCTAATGTACCATGTATGTAACATCGTGTAGATTGTTAATGTAAGAACTGCTGATCAAGTCAATAAAAATTTTAATTATAAAAAAAAAAAAAAACATGGACTGGCCTCCTTCTGGTGCCCTGAGTCTGGACTAAACATGCAGTGTTTCACATTCATGCAGCTAAAATCCAGAGAGCCGCTCTGGATGCTGGATTTTAGCTTCCTGAAAATTGTGAGACAGGCTTCTAGAGTGACAATGTTCAAATCCAGATTAAAAACAGTTCTGTTTAACTAAGTTAGAAGTAATTCAGAACAGAGGATTTTCTAGAATGTGGTAGTGCTGAGAGGATTTCCGATGCTTTCCTCACCTCCACATTGACGGTGAACTCTGAGCCGTCCAGCAGAGCGATCTTACACGACATGATCTTGACTTTCTTCACCGCTCGGAGTGGAGAACGGGACACACGACTGGAGGATGACTGATGGGAGACCAGGTCCTCCTCCGGGTGATCCTGAAACGGGACCAGGACATATAAGCATATAAGAATAACAACACCAGGAAGGTACGGTTATTAAGCAGTACTCGCTTCTTCACTCAAATTACAGAGAAGGCTGGCAGAGACCACATGCCCAGTGGACAGTTTCTAAGGCTTGAGTTGAGAAGAGTTTGATCCATTTCTTTGTTGGATTGTCAGGGTAGGGTACCTCTGATCTCTATACCATCAAGACCAGTGAATAAACACTTGTAAACTCTCATAAGAATGGAGCAAACATTCACACATCGAGGCGCAAAATGTAATTGCTTTGGCCTTATTTTGAACAATGACACAAAAATGTTTCTTTTCATTCACTGTAGGAGGATGTGTGAAAACATATGGTCAAATACATTTCCTTTGATGTGGAGAGTTGGTGATCCTCTTGGTCTTTGCAGTGTGGTTATGTATTGGGACAGGTGCGGTCAGGATTGTGCTTCTTGGCAGGGCCCGGTCTCGGCCTGGTTGTGTCAAAGTTTTCCCATTTTAAAAACTAACAGTGTTGAGCAGATCTGGGTAAATATAAAATGTGCAATTCATGCAAGGCAGCCCAAGTATTTACTGGATACTGAAGGCTTTTTGTCAAGAAGAATGAGCACTTTACCATCAGAGAGGATGAAGAACATCATCCACAACTACTACACAACACTCCAAGCCACCATGGATGTTAAAGGGGAAAGACCATTGAGAACTGGAGGATAGAAAGTTCTGGTCGGAAGAGGAGTTTGTGGAATCATCATAATATGAAAAAATAATACATGTTTATATCAATATATGGCTTCACAAAACCACTAGCAAAGTGTGACAGTTATTGTTCATAATCTGACTTTGTGTTCTGTATGCCTAAAAATAGTCCCTGAATGTAGCACTGAAGAGATGGTGTCCGGTAGTTTTGCCTTGAAAAGGGAAAATCCAATTTTCCACTTCGCTGGGAACAAAACTCCAACTGAGTGACTTTGTGACCAGGCAGAAAAACGCACATAATGCAATTTGAGCACAGACAACTAGAGCAGTCTTTTGCAATCCCTCTAATATAAACAGAACACAAATTTTAATGAAAGCTTAAGGCCAAGTGGACATAATAGAATTATTTAAAACTGTTAAGACTGAGCATCCTAAAGGAGTTGAATCTATCATAGAAAACTCATACTCAAAACATTTGGCTAATAAGTCTAATCACAAATACATCTACAGTAAAATCGACCAGTATTGGTTTGCAGTGTGCCAATGACATTAAGGGGTATGGACTTACACACACACACAAGTGTATTGGCGTGTGTCTGTGTGTGTATTTATTCCCAACTTTGTATCTTTTTTTTTTGTGAATGAAAATGCTAACTTGACTGTTATTTTCCACACAAACCTCCAAAACCAGCTGTTTGTTTGAGTTTTGTCTGCAGGGTTCATTCGTTCACAGGTGGCCAAGCCGGAGCAGAGGAAGCAGGCACCACAGTGTTAAAATGTGCTCATATTTTCATCGGTGTTCCGGTTACTTCACACTGGTCTGAAAACCGTTCAAAGCCCCCGTCAACATAAATGTGAGATTAACAGACCACAAAGAGCAGATGATGTGGTGTTTTAACAGAAATTCATACATAAAATGTAAAATCATTTCCACATGTTCAACTGAATTAAACTTAAAGCGGGTCATATTGCACAAAAATCAATTATCATTAACAACAATTATGAAGCACTTTATGACTGTCTGTAAAAGGCGCTATATAAATAAAGATAACTTGCAAACCAATCATATCTTACTTAGGCGGAGTACTTTGTATATGTATTCCAATGTGGTTTTACTGTAAATTAATTTTTTGTTTGTTTCATATACACATTTTGTTTACTTAATATTATCACATGATAATAACAATAATAATAATAAATACATTTTTGATGTTTCACAGCATTATTCATTCACTCTATACAATGTGGAGATAAACCATTAAAGTAGCCACAGCTGCCCTGAAACAGTCTGACAGAAGCAAGACAACCAGTATATGCCATCAGCCCCTCCAACCACCACCAATCATTCATACACACAAGACTCATTCTAGGCCATCTGGGTGAAGTGTCTTGCTTAAGGAGACAACAACAGCGACAACACTGTAGCACATGGTGTTCCCAGAGGGCTCCCATTACAATACTAACCAGAGCCTGCCCTGCTAAGCTTCAAAAAGTCTGACTAGATCTGGCCTTCGCCAGCGGGTGACGCCATCACTCAGACCACAAGTGTTGTCTTTATCTTATTGGAATTATGTTAATGAGAGCTGATTGGCTGAATGAGGGTGGTCCTCTCTTCTTCACTGAAAAGATGATAGAAGCAAACAGTTTTGGGAGCGAGTTATTTTGTTTCAAAGTTAGGTTTTTAAAAAGTAGCTTTTAATTCTCATTATCCTGCATTTAAATGCACGAGCAACATTTTCTTTTTCCTCTTAAAATGCACAACTTATCTTCTGAAATATATTTGTGCTGTGGTTTTAACTTCACACTTCTGTGACACTATAAGCAAATCTGTGATTCTTACAAGTCCCTTTGCCCCATTTCTCTCTCCACTCCTTGTCACTCAACCCTGTTACGAGAGCGAACAGCGAACACACACACACACAGGTCTTTTCCATGCAGAGCTGTGGTTGTGACAGAGATTTGGCCGGTCCCGTGTGGCGCACCTGTTCTTTGTGGGCTGGGGTGCTGTGTCCCACCGCGGCTGGGAGCTCTGGTGGGTTTGGAGGCGCTTCGCTTTGAGATGCCTCTTTGGTTTTCTCCTTCTCTTCCTGCTGCTGTTTCGCTGCAGACTCCGGGCCGCTCTCTGTGGTCATGGTTCAGTCGAGCTGCAATCAAACAAAACAAGTCTCAAGCTAGGAAAGATACGTTTTTTACCACTTCATTCAAGTTGCACATGAAAAAGGTGGGGAAGCAAAGTTTATAATACCATTGTCTTGCAAAATCTGTGAACAAGGCCGTGCTGTTGTCTAATTGGACCCCAGTTATTTGCAATCTTGTGAGTCAGTATGTGAGGCTTGGGGCCAACTGCTTATTGAGGGGATGAAGCCGATTGCATTTTCTGTCTGTGATGTTACTCAAGTTGACCAGATGCAAAGAGCACAGGAGCCCGTCTACTACTTCAGTGATCCAGCGAGCCGTAACACATCTATTCATCATGAATGTGTTTGAAACTATTGAAAAATCCCTCCTCTTCTAGTCCTTCAGACTCAGCATTTCCCACTGGAGCATTATTTAGCGCTCTTCTTACCCAGCAGCATACTTAGTTATCCCAGGCATCTGCCCACTGACCCCCCCTCCACCCACTGCTCCAGCATACGAGATCCCAATAGCCTCAAGTAGAGTGACATAAGCAGAAACAACAACAGCTCATGCAGAAATGGTGCAATAGAAAAGGTCATATCAAAGAGTGTTTGATTGTCATCATATACACGTTTAGAAAGTAATCTTTGGCCAAGGTAGCACAAAATACTTTAAGGTTTTGTTGAAACTTTAAGTTTTAAATCATAGCTTGGGATAAAGATGAAAATATCTTTTATTAGTCCCACTGTGGGGAAAATGTCAGTGTTGCATGACAGGTTACAGAACTGAAAAATGTAGTGAATATTTAAGATGACTTTCTCATTCTTGCCATTGTGGTGACAGTTTTTGGAGTAATTACATAAAACCAGCCGCAGCAAATACACGGACGCCAAAGGCCTTTTATCAATGCAGACGACCTTCTGACGCCATGCTGAGCTTTGTGAGGGCCCCTGCTGCCAGTCACACCCTTGTGTCTTTCGTATCTTGAATCTGTATGCCTGCTTCTATCCATATGTCCTTGCTCCAGGAAGGAGCAGGGCCCCCCCGACACCTACAGACAATGGCGATCACTCTTGCCCCCCTTCACATCCTGCTGTCTGTCACACCCTTGTGCCTTTTGCCTCTTGCATATCTATCGGTCTGTATGTGTGCATCTTCTACATCCTGCATGACCATTGTCCGTCTGTTCGCACCTCATTCCCAGACGGCGCCAAAACGCTCCCCATGCGCCTCCTCACCGGTGGCCCTCCCCAATCTGTTGTGGGCGGGACTGTCTCTCGTGTGTGTTTTGTATACAGGAAACTTGGGGCTCTGCCGGCAGAGCTAGTTCATGCTGCTTGGTGTATGTGCTGACTCTCCGTACGTACGTCAACAATAAACTTACGCTTTTGATCAGACAAAGACCTTTTGAGCTTTCTCCTTGCTTTGGGGTATACATTTCTATAACAATTTGGCGTTGCTGACATGTCTTGGCATGGATACTTTCGGCGGGGACGAGCGGCTTTGTTTGGCCGACCTGAATCACCAGCCTCTGTTCTTTTTTGGAGACAAAGGAGGGCGCGCTCGTCCCGCGCACGGAAGGAATCCTTTTGCCACACAAGACCAAAAAGAACCTAATCTGGTGAGTTTTGTCTTTTCATCTGCGTAACGAGCACTTAAGTGTACACGGGGATTTGTTTATTTACGTATTTTTGGGGTATTTTATGCATTGCCACAGCATAGTCTGTGTGCGGGATTTTTTGGGGGCTTTTTGTTCTAGATTGAAGCTAGCGGCTGCGCGTTAGTATCGTCCTGTGGGCGACCCTGATAATTTCTCCAAGTGTCTTCAGCCAGAACCGCTCCGTTTTCAAGAACGCGCGCTCGCTGGTTGAACCAGCGGGGGGGGGAACGGAGCGCCCCAAAGTGGGTAGGAGCAGGGAGAAACTAAGCGGGTTAGGCTCATTGTTCGTACGAGAAAATGGGTAAAAAACAATCTAGAAGATGCAAGCTATGGAGTGCTTGCCTATGGTGCAGGCCATTACGCATCTTGCGTGATAATTTAGAAGAAGAAGGGAAGAAAAAAAAAAATATACTTGGTTTTAAGAATATCACGGCAAAAGAGGTTAGAGAAAGAAATATGTAAAAACAATAGCTCCTCCGCCTTTCAAGCGGAGAACACACAGGCGGACACACACACACACATCCCCCACACCCCCACCCTCCCCTACTAACAATAAGTGTGCACCCAAACAAGGCGTTGGGTTTTTAAAAAATGAAGCAGACTACTGTTGTCTCTTTTCCCTCTCCCTTATCCAGGTCTGTCGGCGCCTTTCCTCCGCGCTCTCCCTCTGCCTCAAAGCACCAGCCCCACGCCCCAACCACAGGCGGCGCCCCCACCAGCTGAGACCCCGCGAGAAGTGGGCCCAAACCGCAGAAGAAGAAGAGGCGGAAACAGACACACGCTCAGGAAACCACAGAAGAAGAAGTGGGGGAAACAGATATGTGAGACACCGACAACTGCCTTGGAGGCCAGAGACAAACTGCTCCAAATCCCGTGACTGTTCCCCACGGAGGCGGCAGCGTGATATACCAAACGCACCCGCGGAAACCCCCTTGAAAGTTGTTCCCGCACCGCAAACAGAAGAAGCCATTGTGACCGGCACGTTTGGGTTATTCACCAACCCTCATGGACCACATGCTAACGCTTTGGGCTACCTGGGCCTCCTGCGGACTTTGAAAAACTTCCACAGCCCGGCGGAAAGACTGTGTGCTCGACAATGGGTCGAAGGACTGTTACCGGAGGAGGCGTTAAAGGCAGAGGCTCACACGGGGCCAGAGGACGGCAGAGGCGGGCACGGAGGAAACACGAGCGACTGACCAAACCTGGGTTCACATCCGTCACCAAAGCCACCGCTCATGTAAGTTGAACAACAACAAATTGCAATTGGCACTTTTTAGAGATAATTCATGCCCGTAATATACGCTAACAATCTGTGGTGTACAAGTTAAGATTCTGGATGACTCCGGGGCAACAAATTCTGTGCTAAAAGTGACAGCCTTTCTGTCTCCCCTAAAGTGAGTGGTCGCTTCACAAAACTCATGGCTTCAGTTAGGGCTGGGCAATTAATCGATTTTAATCATTAATTCGAGTTTTTACATTTAGGGCGATTTCTTTTCTTTTAAAATTCGATTTTTTATTTTCTCCATCGCAGAACTACAGCGCTAACGCGCTACCCGCGGGTCTATGGTGTTGAGCAGCCATTTTGAAGCTAACCTAATGCTAACAGGCTCCCTCTGGCCTGATGCGCGCTCCCACAGTTGGTGCTGTTGCAATAACACTTCAAACGGTCAAGAATCAGACTTTATTTAGATCGCCAGAACACACACTCGTGTCCCACTGAGCCGCTGCACTTTGGGGAAAGACACGTCTCTCATTGCTCTGATACAAACAACGTGTTCCCCGCTAGCTGTTAGCTACAGTAGCTGCTACAGTAGTTGTTAGCTACAGCATCAGAATGTAAACAGGAAGCTCGCACAATGCGGGAGCCACTGAAGTTAGTATTAGCGCCACCAGCTGGACCGAGCGTTGTACTACAGCACAGTTACTCAGGCACAGTTGGAAGAACAACATTTCTATTTTGAGTCATCAGTTTTAAAAATGTGATATTTCATGTAAATAATGCATGTGTTTAATAGGATTGATATATTTGCGATGGGCCTTGTTTGTGTGATTTAAGTTATTTGGAAGGTGCATAGTGTCATTGCAAGTGAAGTTATTATAAAACCGTTAAGCTACATTTTCGTAACAAGAGCTCATTAGAGATATAGGGGACACCATTTGTGATAAGCCCGACTACAGACCACGTGGTAAACACACTAAAGTTGGAAATGGATTTTTTTTTTTTTTTAGGAAAAATCTCTTAAAAAGCTTTGCATGTTCTGCAGGCTCTGAAAGTTGCAACAAGAAATAGCTCATGAGACAATTTTAATTGGACATGGAAAAATATAACAAAGTTAAAATTACAGGCCTTCTGTGTTGTTACATGTTTGTGTATGTTATATGTTTGTGTGTCATGTCAAAATACACTACGCTGACCTTAACAAACTCTGGACCAATACTAACGTGGGAAATCGGCCTGTGATATGAGTGTGATGTGACTGTGATATGAGTGTGATGTGTGAAATGAGGAGTGAAATGGGGAATGCTGATCGGAATCATGGAATAACAAATGTGTCTGTAATGTTTTAATGTGATCATGGAATAATTCTTTTTTGTCAACAGCATACGGTGTAAGTACTAGAGATTCAAAGATAACGACCTTTATTGAACAGGTGTAAAAGTGAGAGTACTCTGGGATGAGTACTCTGAGAAAAGTACTCTGCGGAAAGTACTCGGAGATGAAATACCTCGCTGAAGATATTGGGAGTTCCTCCCTCTGCTGTTTGTCCTGACAGCGACACAGTCCAACCGCAGTGAGCTGTCGGTGGTTGGAGGACAACTTTGGTTTGTAAACTCACATTTAGGGGAGTATAAAATTAGAAACATACATTTTGTTGTTCTGTATTTGGCTACAGCCTCCGCCCTGATGCCACACACCGTCTGTCAATGCAGTTATGTTTTGCCCAATTGGAAAAAAGATTGACAAGCGAAAGTGGGCATTTTTTGTGTTTTTTTTGTGTTCTAATATTTCTTTTTCAGATGAGAGATAAACTACTCCTGCTTCAGGGATAACATAAGTTTGGATCATGAGGAAATGAGCCTCTACCTTGGCACCAAAGCCCACAATATGAATTGAGGACGATCCGGGAGAAAGCAACTGGAGATGAACGGAACAGTCGGTACTTTTGCAGTCTCACGGAGGGCCACTGAGACCCACTGCTTACTTCTCAGCAAAACTCGATCCCGTGGCAGCAGGGTTGCCTCGCTGCCTGCGGGCTGTGGCTGCCGCTGAGAAAGCGGCCCTAGCATCACGTGACCTTGTGGGATACACTGAACTAACTTTGCTTGTGCCCCATGCTGTTTCC